ATAATCTAATTTGATTTAATATGATCCTGAATATTATTTTCTCATCTTAGGTTAAAAGGAAATCTACTGATATAGATACAATAAATAACTTTGAGATACATCCACAAAAAGAGAGAAATATGAAAATCATAGTATGAATTTTTTTCTCGTCTCCTAAGGCTCATTGGAGAATATATCTAACAATTTTCGACCTAGAAACATTTAAAAAGTTTCGTTAAAATTAGTAATTTCACTTCCTTAGCCTACCTTCATGAATGTACTAATTAATAAAATACAATTTTGTGTAAGTAAAAATTTTCAGGATAAGCAAAATTCCAAATTAAAGATAAAATCCTTAGCAGAACTTGAATATTAAAACGTTATTTATTTACGTAAAACTTTTACGTAAAAACAGAAATGTTTGTTTTTTAGGGTTTTGTTATCGAAAAATAAACATGTTATCGATTTTACGTTAGTTCATTTTAAAACGTCACGTCAAACATACACAACCAGTTTTTGATCAATGCATATATATAAAAACACGTATAAAATATTCCTAGCAACAAAGGTCACGAGGTTGGTAAATACAATACATGAAGGTAAAACAATAGAACGTCAATAAAATTTTGGGACGAACAGTGGATAAATAAACTAGTAAACAAAGTGTTTAACGCAATAGAACACCACATCATCATTCAATTTTACGTCCTTTATCTGCTAATGCACGGCGATTTATTAGTCAATCATGAAAAATACAAGAGCAGGATAATCAATCAAGAAAAGAAACTTTGTGTGTATAATTTACCTAATGATCCAGGATATGTTAAAAAGCGTGGTTCCTCTTTGACTTTTTTCTTTCAAAGAAATGAATACGACAAATCAATCTGTTATCGGTCATTATCGTTATCCAACCCTTGAATACTAAATATTGGCTAATTAATTAAAATCAAGTAAAACAAATAAGCTGAATAACAGTTTTTTTTAATCTCTACAGTATCCTATGAAAACCAAATTGAATTATCTAATTTATTGTAGTAAATGGAAGTCAATCCAAAATCATAAACCGAATGTAAATTTTATAAATTAGTATGTGTAGTATAAGATGAGAAGTACGATATTGAAAGGGTCTGTAAAAATGGAATACAACCGAGGTTTGACGACTCCGGTCACTCCTGATCCTTGGTTATTGTTAACACCAGTTCCGCGCCCATGTTTAAGCAAAGTGAGGTTGAAAAGGACGGGTCAATGCCGTGGTTGTAAAAACATTGCAAATTGGCTCAAACAAATGTCTTCACCTTCATCCGATAGAAACTATCCCAAAAGATAAATATTTCAATATGTTTACATTTCTATTATCAGCCAACCTTCACTCTGTAAACTGGAAGGGTCGTACTATCCATTATGGATTTTATGCCTGGGGAAAAGGACTTTAGGCTTTTTTTCTATTTCCTTTTGACTTAAACTAAAACTCTCAGTAAAAATAGATGCAACTCGGATAGATCAAATTAATTCCGCCATGTACAAGATACAAGATTGATATATACAAAGTTGTAATCGTACCCTAAACATAAAGCTGTTTATGTTGTAGATTCTCAAAACGTGACAAATCCCGGTGTTACAAAATCAGCATATGGTGCAGTTAGGTTTTCCCAGTTTGATAGTTGAACTTTATTATCCAGAATTTTCTTTTCACCCACGTCATCCATTTTCTAAGAAATAAGCCGTATCATCTCACTTTTGGAAACAAAAAATAAATAAAGTCAGTTAAATTTCTGACATTTAATGAATGCGAAAGTCTTATGTACAAACTGCTTGTCTACGACCAGGTTTCTACAAATGGAAACCGCTCTCCAAGACTGCTTGTCTTTGTTTCCGTTAAACTTCACATAATAAACAACCTTGTATATAAATGTGGGGTGATTAGAGACCGTTAATCGATAATTATACAGAAATCGTGAGATGCGGTCTGGTATGATAGGTTTCAGAAAAACATTTTCTTTATCGTGCCAACGTTTCGATCTTTATTGAGATCATCTTCAGAGCTCAAAGTGCTTGTCTTCTGAATTGTGCCCTTCTTGCGTGTCGTGTTGAGAGTACCCAAAATAATTCTTGTATATAAAATCAGTTTTTTTTAAATATTATACAAATTTTATGAAGTAGTCCTAAAAAAATGAAATTTCATCAACTAGAACGACATGATCATAATTTTACCGATAGCTTTCAAGACTATAGTAACATGGCGTTAAGGATATAAACAGGGTGTGGCACCACCCAACTCTGCCAATGGCACCTGAATCTAGGATAATTTTTATCGTGATCATTCAGTCCTGATCGATCAGTGTTTTACTTTTAGAATCATAAACTTTTTTTTTTTATCTTTACCTATTGAGTATATTTTATACATTTGGCATTAGAAAATACTATATTTAATTAAGATTTTTAGTTGAGATAAAAAAGTCAATGGCACGAGCGGGATTCGAACCCACGATCTTCGACTAAATATACCGCTGCTCTGCCACTGAGCTATCGTGACCTCGATCCACTCGGACACCAACTTCCTATCTCAACCCCACTTTTTGAATTTTCCCTCCTTTTTTCCATTTTTCAAATGTCGTGTAATCTGATTCTCGACGACAAATGAAATGGCCAAGATAGCTCAAGTGGTAGAGCAGCGGCGTATCAAGCCGAAGATCGTGGGTTCGAATCCCGCTCGTGCCATTAACTTTTTTATCTCAACTAAAAATCTTAATTAATTATAATATATTAATTGGTCAAGCGGACCACGAAATTAGTGAATTAGAAAATACTTCATTGCAAAACCTCTGATCGAGTGCAATAATGATTTACCATCTACTTTTCGTTATGTATAAAAAAGGATCTTAGTTTTCTAATATCACTTCTTAAATATAATAAAATGGCGTGTCGTTAAGGATATAAACTGGGAGATGCACTGCCCATGCCTATGTTGAACGCGGAAATAGGATCTTTTTTTACACAGTTGATACAATATTTACAAAATATTTACCTGGCAAACCTCTGATTGAGTGCATTATTCATTTACCAACTAGGTACATACTTTCTTTCTGATTAATAAAGCTCCAAGTTTTTAATCTCACTAACTTAAAAAAGGTGACGGTGCGACATTAAGGTTGTAAGTGGGAAGAGGCTCGTAGTCTCCGATTTCACCTCTGTCGAACGGAAATGATACAAGATTTATTTTCCTGTATTGCTATATCCCGATTGATCAACGAGTCAAAGAAAAAAATTAAATACGAAAAATTCATTCTGCAATTTGTCCCAACAAAATGACGACCTGTGATCGATTCTTTTAATGATTTACTGACTCATTTTGTACCACAAAACGCTCCTGAAATTCTAATTACAAAAGTTATACTGCGACGAAACAATAACATATGTTAAGGTTATAAGCAGGGAGAGGCACGCTGGCTTCTTTCATCTCTGAATGAAAATAAGAAATGGTGATCAGTCATGCGGCCATTTGTTAGAGTAAAATATGACCTCTGAGTCCTTTTGTGAATTACTAAATTTTGTATCTGATAAGATCGCTGCTGGAATTCAAATCACTCATGACCTGAAACGATGAGACAGTAAGATGGCGACACGTTAAGGTTATGAACAGGTTGAGCACGATGGCTTCTTCCCTTTGATCGTTCATTTCTCCTGCTTTTTCTCGATAAATTATTCAGGTGTACTCTACTGCCATTTTCCTACTTGTATGAGCAAAACGATGACCTCTGAACGAGTACGTAATGATTTTCCAATTCGTTTTGTTTCGGACTAAAACAGACTTGTACAATACTTATGTCACACATCCTGAAGGGAGAGGCAGTTTCATTCTTTGACAATTTCGCCTCTGTCGAAGGCAAATTCGGTTTGTCAGTTTTATATTAAATCTCTGTATCTAGATTGATAAAAATAGTTTACTTCATTTGGGAAATCATAACAATTAAATATTTAGGATTAGTCATCATATTTATCAGTTTGCCAAAGGTAAGAACAAAATGATAAACTCTGATCGAGTTCCTTGGTGATTTACCAATTTCTTTTATATCCGAGTGCAAAAATGTTACAAATTCGGAATAGAGAACACTAAAGTGGCGCAACTTTAAGGTTATAAACAGGCAGTGGCCCATGGACTCTTCCATTTTTGCCAATTTCGCCTGTGTCGACATATTCACTATCTGCAGAATCGGTTTTTATTACTCTGTCGTATTTAAATAATTTATTGTGTGGTTTATACAAAGCTCAATTTTTGCCATACGTAGCAATCTCGAAGTGCATAATATCTTCGAAGTTCCTACGGTCTTAAAGCATGAACTATTTTCCTAAGTTATCTTCTGACATCACTATACTTTTTTATAATTTCTCAATAACTCCAAAAGTCTGCCATATCAAATTCTTTTGATTTAGCTTTCTTTCAATGCAGGAGGGCAAAATCATGGCCAGATATTCAGGAGTGATCTCATGTAGTGGCTTAGCAGTTCCAATTTTGGAGAATAATCCAATGGTATTATAAGAATCCTGCCTCACAATTTCTATTAATTAAGAATACTTAGAGATACACTGAAATGTGACTTAAGTCTAATTTTGAAAGATTGTTCCCTTTGTTCACACCTCGCCTTGTTCACTCTTTATTCCTTTAAAACACCAGAAGACAAAAAAATCTTTCGTGCATTTTCCTTTTAGCTTATAATAGTAAATTATATAAAAATCCAGGGATAAGAAGTTGAATATAACATTAGCCTACGGAATATATGGACAAAATAACTAAAGAAGAAGAGATAGTTGAGTAAGAATTTTGGAATGGTTCAAAGCCAAAGGACTTTTCTAAAATTTTAATAAAAAGTAATCAATAACAGAATTCATCTTTACATAATCTGAAGAATAAAAATTAGCGATATCCAGGATTAGGCTGCAAGAAGGCTAAATTTTAGTTGGAAATATTTTAAAATGAAAACTTTTTTGGCGCTAATCACAACGAAGATTACTCGCAAAAACATATGTTTCATCCCATATTACTTCAAACTTACAAACATTACGTTTGGTTGCACACACAAACTTTTATCAAGCACATCTAAATTTTCAGTAATAATACAGGATAAATCACACGACTTGTTAACAACTCACAGGTAAGACGTTTTGCCTACTTTGTTTTTAACTTACGTGTGGAACCGGCGCAGCAGCGTTTATGTAATCAATTCAAAGACAAGTGTTCAAACCAAGTGTATAATGCTTTGTCGGAATGAACTGAAAATAAACGTAATGCGCAATTTACAAGTTTAAATAGCCAGTAAGGCAGTAGCGCTTTACAAAAGTTTAGGCAATTCGTCAAGTGTGCCTGTAACTCCTTGCAGTGACGTCTCAATCTAATCAGACTGCGTCAGGTGTGATAGTAGCTCCTTGCAGTGAAGTCACCCCCATCAGATCCCGTCAAGTGCGGCAGTAACTCCTTGCAGTGACGTCACAATCCAATCAGACTGCGTCAGGTGTGATAGTAGCTCCTTGCAGTGAAGTCACCCCCATCAGATCCCGTCAAGTGCGGCAGTAACTTCTTGCAGTGACGTCACAATCTAATCAGACTGCGTCAGGTGTGATAGTAGCTCCTTGCAGTGAAGTCACAACCCCATCAGATCCCGTCAAGTGCGCCACTAGCGCCTTGAAGTGACGTCACAAGGCGAAAAATCAATGACAATACCCTTATCAAACCCCATGGAGTTATGCCTCATCAGATCCGTCAAGTGTGCCAGTATCACCTATCGCAGGACCATCCTTTTCTAACTACTCGCTCCTCACGACGTTTTAACAGAGTCTTGATTTGACAAAAATCTTACAGATCCCAACACTTAAGTTGCCGAATGCAATAGAACGCCTGGCGGAACAAACCACCGAGGATTAGGCATACCAAAATGATAAGTAACTTCAGGTTCGTCGACCCCAGACAATATGGAGGGCAAATCTCACCATTGACTTATTAAATATTGACAAATTAAAACTATAGAGTCAACAGTGGTGGTTCGGAGGGGTCTGTAAAACTCCGAATTCATGTTGGGATTTTGTTAATTTTCAAAAAATAACCTGTTGCGGTCATTTATTGTCGCTTTGGCCGCTCCAAACACAATGAGTTTTTGTTGCGCTTTCATCTGCGTGGTGATGAACTTGACTAGTTTGGTATTTTCCGAACGTTTTGGTCTGCTTAACATTTATGCCTTTTCAGAAGCGTTTCGGCTTGTCTCTACCTTCACTTATTGGTTTTGATCATTATTAAAAACTGAAAATTGCGAGAAGCATTTTTGAAGAAGAATATAGCATCCTATATTTGAGGAAAGGCAGACCAAAACTATCCGCAACTAAACTATTAACCTTGTCTTAGATCTTTAAAACTTCTAGCTTATTTTTCATCGTCCTTTAAAAATTCTTCTCCGTTTTGTCTACAAGACCTGTTTTACAGTTTCGTACTGCATTATTAAGCTAACGAACTAGCAGACTTGTACTTTTCATCGCAATTGATTTGTTGCAGAAAAATTCAAAGGGGATTTTCCGCATGTAGACACACATGAGTTCACATAATTTGTGTCGCACTCTTCAGCACTTGTTCAGTAGATCTTATTAAGAATTTGATCGCTTCTCAAGTGCTGAAGTAACGTGAGAAAAAGACTTCCTGCCTCTTGTTCGAGGACAGCTGCTACAAATAAATCTTAGTCTGATCCAATTTCCACTCTTTTCACCTTGTCAATTTTTTTTATTATCTAACTCCAAACTGCACGAGTTGCATAGAATTCCACCCTTAACTTAATAAAAATCTAATTAAAGCACGTGCCTGGTATTTACGCCTACAGCGTTACAAACCTTTCGTAAATTCTTATTATTGGAGAATATTCGTTTGCACCTATTGGTTGAGAAACGCACAAAAATCGTGATTATGGCATTTATCAGTAATTAAATCATAAAATTAGTTTCTTTGCAAAATACTACGTACTAAGCCGTGACCATAACATTGTGGAATTTTTACACGACTAAATATTTAAATAACAATATAATGAATGTATAATTTCAATAAATTATTCATCGACTTGGTTTTACGTAATATAGTACAAAATTAATAATAAACAAACAAAAAAATGAATTATATTAAGTTGTTGGTTTCTTGAGGATCGTTCAAGAATGAGATAGTTTAGAAAAACACCTTTTTTAATTTTTTGCCGACGTTTCGACCTTTATTAGGATCATCTTCAGCGCATAAAGCGAGGTGCTATTATTGCGGTGTCGTGTTGGTGTTGTTCGAATCCAACAAATTAGTAAACAACCGGTCACTAAAAAAACATACATGAACTGCACTGACAGGCAAAAAATTCTTGTAATATAACTTGATCTGTATATATTTTTATATATTAATCAATGTTTCACGTTTAATAATTGAGTTTTTGTCTAAAAAAGTAATTAAAAAATGTAAATTGCTAAGGAAAATGAAAGATATAAACAAAAATAAAGAAGACGGACAGATAAAATTTGTTAAAATTTTGTTTTACATTTTTGTCATTTTAATATCGCGTATTTTCTCCTCTTGCTTTAATTACATCTCGAAGACACCTCGGCATACTTTCTTCCAGTCTGGAAATGTCTCTATGCTGTAGGTTAGCCCATTCTTCACGAAGAGGCCTTTCAAGATCGTGGAGTGTATCAGGGAGTGATGGACGTTCGTCTTTTGAGGTTATCTCATAAATGTTCGATGGGGTTCAAGTCTGGAGCACGGGCTGGCCAGGCTAAGACCCTGATATTATGCTGTTGAACATACGTTTGTACTATGCGAGCGATGTGTGGACAAGCATTATCGTGCATTAGAATAGGGTTGTCGCTAATTTCATCGAGGATAGGCAACGCATGATGTTCCAAAATTTCATCCTCAGAGCTAGTCAAAGACCCTCCACAACCAACTCTGAGCGATTCTCCATTAAAATTCCGCACACCATCACTGAGCTGTGATGAAAAGGTCGGCTCTAGGAAAAATTACAGGCTTCGTATATTTCATTTCGCTCTCCACACTCCTTCACGCCCATCTGGAGATCGTAAAGCAAATCTACACTCATCTGTAAAAAGTACAGCAGACCAATCGTCCAAAGACCAATGGCTGTGTTCTCGAGCAACTGGGAGCCGTGGTCAATTTTGGTCCTCTTACGGGGCAAAAAGCCATCAGTCCATACTGTCTCAAAGTCAAAAAACAGTCATCCTGTGGTTCTGGGCGTCCAGAACAGTTCCTTCTTTGGTAGGACCCAGTTTCTCGAAAACGTCTAACGGCGTCTCACAGTGATTCGTAGGGAACTCCGATGGCAATAGCCGGATACCTGATGGAACGTCCATAAGAGCACGCGCAACATCCTCAGCATTAAGTGGTCTTTTTAAGTTTAAAAATTGAAATTGAGAAAACAAATATGAAATCTAAACAGTTTCTTGCTTCAGAATTCAAATGAGACTGAATAAACAATTTAAATTCCGTAAAAAGTAAACACTGAAAAAACCTTTATCCTTGTTGTGGATTAAGAATTAAGTGGGTTCTCTAATTGATATTCCCAATTTAAAACATAACATAAACAAATATTTATTGATAAAAACAATGGGACAAATTAAGAGCAAAATTTTCTTTTATCGAGAAAATGACAAAAAAATCAATTGGGTGAAATTTTGGTGCGTCAGTGTATATTTTTAATTTTTTTCTTAATAAAAGGACAACCAAATATACAATTTATTGCTCATTAAATCCCTTAAATTTTTCCTTTTTTTTGCACCATTTCTACCTTTCCTCCTATGGATTCGCTGTTGTTGTCTTCTTCTTTATTTTAATGTTAAATAAAGATTTTTTAATCTTTAATAAGGAATTAAAATTATATTGGGACTGTGGTATTACAGAATCACTTGTTGTAAGTGGAATATTTGTTTAAACCTGAATTAATTAATAACCAGAGTTAAAAATATATCAAATTATATAAAAATTCACATTACGTTCATCAGCCCAACTGAATTCAAAAAATTAAAATATACAAGCTTTAAGTATAAGAAGCTGGTATAACAAATTATATCAGCTATAAACAACAGAAGCTACCTTACAAATGTTTTACATTATCATCAAACGATTGATGATATACAAATAACTTAAATCGTCTTTTGTTTCGCAGAATAAAAAATGGCTCGAAGGGTATCAGAATTTTCGGAAGACGCCGCCCCATGGTTTTTAGAAGGTGATGCTGCAGAGCTGGAAAACGAGGAAGAAGGCTTGGAAGAGGAAGAGCCGGCGAAGTTCAACCTGTTTGAACCGCCACCTCTTTTGCCCATACCGATAGGAAAAATCGTCGTGGACGGATTCGGACTGTGGAAGGTACTTAGCTTTAAAATGTAATAATCCGTACAAAAAATTCCTTTATTTTGAAATAAAATCTCTAAGCTCAATCTAGTTGCCCAATCCTTATCCAATAGAAACCACCCTTAAAGAATGAAAAGGAAGTGGCCTCACGACAAACTAAACTAGGATTCGTCCGCGCGTATACTCACGACTCATTATATTTAAAAATCCAGTTCATAACATAATGTACAGATTTACAGAGGTTACAAATTGTAATAAATATAATAAATAAAAAAAGTTTAAAAGCATCGTCTGTTACTTTACTCGAACTGTACTCAAATTTGCACTTATCCGTTCATCTAATCATAAAAAAATTACTTAAGAGTCAATAGGATTTATATACTGATAAATAAGCATAAACAAAATATCATGGTCATATGTGGATGCAAGTTTTCGCCTCCTGGCCATCCTTTCTTTGACATATCATGAACGTTAAACTATCCCGTTACGTAAGGCTATCTCCGTTTATTGATTTTAATCAATTTTTGGGCGCAAGAAATTCTTAGAAAAAAATCTAAGCTGTAATGATATTAATCAAATCGCATATGCTATTAGAGAAAAGGAAGTTTAATTAATTGCCTATCGTCTCTGGCGTCTCTCAAGGTACGGTTTTAGGTCCTATGTTTTTTTCTTTTGTAAATGATCTTTTAAAATTGAAAATATCCGGTAAGGTTTTTAGTTGTGCTTATGATACGTGCTTGATTTTTTCTGGAAGGATAATCGATAATTTGATTAAATCTATTAAAGATGATCTTAGACTTGTTAAAACATGGTTATCTTCAGTTTATTTTTAAACAATGAGAGATCCAATGTCTTACATTTTGCGTTAAGAAAAAGATTAGTCTCAGAGAGCTTTAAATTTTGTTTCCATAAGTGTATTAATTCATTTATCTGTAATTTCCCTCATAGCAATTACAAATAATACTAAAACCTAAGGAGTTATATTAGACTCTAAATTTTAAGTTACATATTGATTCTTTGGGTACGCGACTGAGGAAAATCTTTTATAAATTCAGTATATTAAGAAGTAAGAAAGATCCTACTTTTAAAATTGTTAAAATCAGTTTATTATGCCTTAGTTCAGTCTATAATTTGCTATGGCATTTTTTCATGGAGTGGAACCAGTAATTGTTATTTAAATCCATTAACCATAACTCAAAATTTTTTTTGAGAACTATTCTTTCTAAGCCTTTTAGATTTAATACCAATCTCTGCTATATGATAATTTTCAGGTTCTAAAATTTAAACAATTGTTTTTAAAATGTTCTTGTTTTTATGTCTTTCAAAATAACTAATAAAAATAAAGATTAAACAATGGGTATTAAACAAGACAATAAGTAGTAGTGAGTAATATTTTTATATCCAAAGTAAACACTAATTTTTACCTTTTGAATTAATTAAACTTTCATTAAGGTTTTGGCTGAGATAAAAAATTCAGTGTCAAAAGCGGGATTCGAACCCACGACCTTCGGCTAAATACGCCGCTGCTCTACCACTTGAGCAATCGTGACCTCGATCCACTCGGACACCGACTTCCCATCTCAACCTCACCTCTCGAATTCTCCCTCCTTTTTGCCATTTTTCAAAGGTCACGATAGCTCAAGCGGTAGAGCAGCGGTGTATTTAGCGGTCGTGGGTTCGAATCCCGCTTGTGACACTGACTTTTTATCTTAACCAAAACCTTAATGAAAAATTAATTAATCGAAAAGAATTTATGTGGTCAAACGGACCACGAAACCTAATAAAATTAACACTAATTTTTACTTTAGTTTTTCATTAAATGTTGTTTTTATGTCCTTTTCAATCATAAAATTAATTTTAACATATTTACTTCTCATTATTTCAAAAAATTTATTATTGCAAAAAAATTTTAAAATTTGAATATTCTTGTGGCATATTAGGGATTTGCATTTTATTTTTTTCTCTTTCATTAAGCCATCCAGTCTATCTTCAAGTGAATACCAATTTTGGTGGACATTACTTCAGATTGCACCTTGAAAATATACTTTCGAGTCCGTTACTTACTCCCATTTTTTACTCCGACTGGAAAACAAAAAATTTCAACCTTTCTTCTTCCATTTGCAACAGCCTACCTGTACGAATCAGGATTTTCTATCAATACTGCAACAAAAACTAAATACCGAAGCTGTCTAGATACTGACCCCGATATCAGTCTCCAGCTATCAAAAATTCAAACCATCATACGCAAATTGTGCAGGCAAAAACAATCTCACTCTTCCGATTAATTCATTAATCATTAATGTACAAATTATTACTTTTGAAATTAGCTGGAGTTTTTCATACCTATTGATTCATTTAACCAATTTGATTTTTGTGTTCTGAAATTTCTATTTAAATTCACTAGTTTTCGCGGTCCGCTTGACCAATTAATATCTTACAATTAATTAAGGTTTTTAGTTGAGATTAAAAAAAGGAGGGAAAAATGGCAAAGAGGAGGGAAAATTCAAAAAGTGGGGTTGAGATGGGAAGTTAGTGTCCGAGTGGATCGAGGTCACGATAGCTCAAGTGGTAGAGCAGCGGCGTATCTAGCNATTCAATTAAGAAGACACTACCACTATCCATTATTTAAAAAAATTATGTGGACATATTAGTTATACAAATATAATCACATAATCTCTTTAAAAAAAAATAATAACAAGTTTTCAAGTTTCATGATAGATTATAAAATATGTGATTTATCTAAATCCAAAATCAATGTACCATTATTTTTGTAATTGAGTCATTCTTAAACAGAAAAAAGCTCAAATTAAGTCAGGGCAAGTTAAGTCATAAACTTCAACATTTCATATTAGCACTATATTTTTTTTGTTTGCGTATTTCTACCACTATCCATTAGTATTTAAAGAAAATTTGTGATAATTAATCAATTATGTGGACATATTAGTTATACAAATATAATCACATAATCTCTTTAAAAAAAAATAATAACAAGTTTTCAAGTTTCATGATAGATTATAAAATATATGATTTATTTAAATCAAAAATTAAAAGGATATCGCTATTGGATAGTACTGGCCGTAAATTAATCGTACAATTTAAAAAAAAAAACACGGATTGCTATTCCTGTATGTACCACATACTGTTTATTGTTGTGGAGACCTGTGTTTAGTTGATTACAGGCTGCACAATTATCGTCGCGAAACGATACATTACAGGACCTTAAAAAAAGCCAAATTGACAATAGCTGACTTTTTTCATAATTATACGCTTCTGCCTATGCGTTCCCTTGCGCAAATAATAATCATGATCAACTTATAATCAAACAAATAAATCCTTAAAGCACTCTTGTGGGCTATTCTTGACATCCACGGTCAAGTAATTTAATTTTCTACATTATTTATTTACACTTCGAAACGTTATTATTTATTAGTATGGATTATCTCCTGAATCGGATGATGGATGTTATTTATTTATTTAAGAGATAATTAATTTTTTCGAATCAAGATTAGTTTCCAAAAAAGGAAGCAAATGTCTTCCTGGCTCTCAGCAGACAAAGGTTAATTTTGGAGGCCTTAAAGAAGACTTCTCATGTTTCATTCAATTACACTGTATGGTTGTGAATTATGACCTGGATATACATTGGTGTTAATAAATGGTTCAATCTGAATAGATAGGGAAAAAAGAGGCTGCCACAAGGCCATCTGCACTTCTACCCGAATAGATCTTTTGTGCTCCTTTGTTTTTTACAACTCACTGGCTAGCTTCAGGCTATTAACCAGTTTTTACATCTTTGCCAGCGGTTCCTTGGTGTAGGATCTTGCTTGTGGTTTTTCTTGTCCTAGTTGCAAGAACCTGCACCTGCATAGACCTTCATAGAAATATAAAATGTGTTCTTCGTCTCCGCTTCTTCGATTCCCTGAGGGCTCAGTTTAAGCACTATTATTTTTTTACCCCAATGCCATTTATCCTTTGCCATGGATCGCGTAACAACTTGGATTAGGGTGGCCATATCCCCTTTTAGCATGCCTCGATGCGCTGGCCCTTGATGAGTCATCTGACGATCTCTACCATCATTCTGTGCATTAGCAGTTCGTCTTTCTCTTCGGAAAGGAGATAACGAAAGAAATAAACGTCGTGACCACAAGAAGAACCATAGGCAAATCTTGGGGATTAAAACCGGAAATGGCATATTGGCTATACACGGCAGTAATAAGACCCAAAATAATCTATGGATCATTAATCTGGTGGACCAAAGCTCAACAAAAAGCAGCTACTCAAACATTAGGAAGCATACAAAGACAACAAACCTTTGTATCACAGGGGCAATGAGAACAACCCCTACAAGTGCACTAGAAACTGCTAAACCTACCTCAACTGGAAATATTTATACAAAGAGAGGGTAGGAAAAGATCATTTAGACTCCAAAAACAATTAAATTAGATAGGAACTAAACAATTCTGGCATAGAACTATAATTAAAAATCACACACCCATTCTTAGAAATGGGGACTGACTATATGATCCCGGAAACATTCTTCACAACATCCTATAAAGTCTCAACGGACTATAAAGGACAGGAAGAACACAGGAGAGCATCAGATACAATTATATGCAGTTGGCTCGAAAACAAACGAAGGAAACAAATCAGACATTTACTATACAAGCCCAAAACATGAGCAATCAAACTCATTAGGGAAGTGCACTTCGGTCTTTCAAGCAGAAATACGTGCCATCAATGCTTGTGCCCTGGAAAATCTTAAAAGAGATTACACTGGCAAAAAAATCCTCATAAGATCTGACAGCAAAGCAGCCATTAAAGAACTAGCATTAAAAAAATTACATCAAAATCAGTCAGTGAATACACTCAAAATCTCCATAACCCGGGGAAACACAACAACCCGATGATATCTTGGGTGCCAGGGCACAGGGGAATTTTGGGTTACGAGAGAGCCGACAGACTGGCCAGATGAGGATCCGCAAGACCATACGTGGTCCCCGAACCTATATTTGGGATAACAAAAATAAATATGGAATCCTCCTATAGAATGCAAACAAAACAAAAGGAGAAGTGGATAAACTCTAGCGGCGCTAGATATAATAAACTTATGATAAAACAACCCTCACCCAGACTGGCAAAATCACTGCTGCAACTGGAGAGGACTAAACTCAGAGGAGTGGTAGGACTACTAATCGGTTACTGGCATCTGAGAAAACACCTACAAAACATGGGCATATACAACTATGATCCCATCTGCAGATTACGTAAAGAGGAGGAAGAAACAGCCACTCATATCATCTTCGAATGCGAAGCAACTGCTCAATGGAGATTCAACCTAACATACGAAAAAACTTAGGGAATGAGATTGTAGCAGCGACAGTCAATGACATGATACGTCTAAAGAGAAGGATAGAGTCTATTGCACTGAACTATGGAACTAGAAAGGTACAATAAGCCAGAAGGCTGTATTTCCTGGGGAGTACAAACTCCGCTTCCTAGTATCCTTTTTTTAACCATACCATACCACACCATGCTACAAACCGCTCTTGATGAAGAATGGGATTCTGTTTAGGCGTTATTTAGAGCAAAACTAGGTAATCAATTGTTAGTTAATTACCACCATGTATCATCCAATGTTCCATTATAGACTAGTGTCATACTTGGCCCATATGGCACAGGGACTGATCACCACTGATGAAGGCCACCTTTCCTACCATTATAGTAGACCATTGTGCGAAGGAGTCATTAGGTAGTGCATTTTTCAAAGTTTGGAAATAGGTCCACCACAATAGGTCTTTTAGGTCGTCAGACTGTTGTCACTAGTGTCCCCGAAGAAGGGAAAAACAGGAGAAGCTTCCATGCTCCATTGATATGAAAATTTCATTCCTACTCGCTCTCTACATGGATCCGAAGAAATACACTGTCAATTAAGTTGGATCCATAGAGAAACCTTTATCTACATGCCGGACAAAAACGGTTTGTCAACCTTGCATGGCGTGTTCTTAGTCGGGATGTTCCCTCTTCTATGTTCCAGATCCTCCAAGGGCCATTTATCGACTGTGCTCTCGATACGTAAGTGCTTCTTTGGACACCGCTGCCATTTCCTTTCCACCTTATTTCTATATACATTATGATTTTGTATAATGTACAAATGCAATATACGTAATGTGATATCAAAAAAGAGTAATATTTATATAACGTTCAATCTTTTGGAATTACTAAAAACATTAGCCTTGAGATTTTAAAGATTTTTTTAATATATATAAACGTGCTTGCAAAAGGGTAACATCGACCCACCTTTTCAGAAAGAACGGAGGCAATTCGATATCGAATCCACGATCATATCAAATAAAAATTTTAAAAACAAACCCTTAGTCTTGATTCCGGCACGTTCAGTCTCATTTTAATGATCTTTCTCTTTTAGAGGCTCGCAGACGACCAGATTACGACGGACAAACCCCAGGCCATTTGCCAGGACATAATAAGAAGATACACATTAATAAACGATAACAGAGTGACGGTTCAGGTAATCAACTACGGGGCGACAATAACGCACATTTCCTATCCGGATAAAAATGGCAAGATCGAGGACATCGTGCTGGGCTTTGACACGTTCGAAGGTAATTCAACAATCACCTGGTAGACAAATAGAAAAGAATAGCTGTTCTTTGTCGATTTGTTCTGTATGCGACGCGTACAACTTCGTTTAGCATAAAATCATAATGGTCTTATGAATATATATAAGTTTTGATTACTGAAGTTTATAAATTCGAAGTACTCAAAGCGTTGACTGTAGTTGGCCGAGAGAAATCGAAGTTAAACTTTGCTTCATCGTCTTGGGACATTATCAAATCATCTGGAAAAAACTGTTGTTTGTGGGGAATATACAGGGTGTTCGGCTACTCGTGTTACAAACTTTTCCAGAAGATTCTACATTCAAAATGGAACAAAAAAGTCCTAATTAACTATGGTCCGAATCTCAGCAGTTTCGGAGTTGTTCCACTTTTTCTAATTTTTTAAAATTTCACAACCTTGCTTCAAATAAACAATGATAACTCTAAAACTAAAGGGTTTTGGCCAAATCCGTAAATATCTTTGAAAACTACGTTAAATTTCCAATAAGATGTGATCAATACTAAAGTTGTAAACATTCGTGAAATAAGCGTTTTAGTAGCCAGAACATTGCTATTTTTTTTTTTTTCAAAATTGAAAAACTTACTATGGTAATTTTAATCTACTAACGTAGAAACGTTTCCAAACGTAGAATCCAGCAAATTTCAGCAAACCATTCAATAATCTTTTTAGCGGTGCAATTGCTTTCTTTAATTACTTTTTCAAAGATAAAGAAATTGATGAAGGAAAGGAAAAAACCGTGGATGAAGGATTGGTAAGGGAGAACTATTAATAATAATAAAAAATAAAAAACTTAAAGAAATTTTGAATGAATTTATTAAACTTTTTAAATTAGTTAGAAATTTATTAATAGTTTGAGTTAGTTTTATAGCCCTAAAAGGGCTTTTGAATGAGGTTTAGAGTCAAAATTTTACCGCTTAATTTATGTTTAGTGGTCTAATTGACCAAATTATTTATTTCAATTAATTATTCTTTTTATGTAAGGTCTTGGTCGACATGAAAAAAGCTGGTGTCACGAGCGGGATTCGAACCCTCGACCTTCGGCTCAATACGCCCCTTGCAATAAACCCCTTGAACTCGCACACCAAATGTTTCCTCTTTTTGCCATTTTCCCATTAAGATTAATGTTTGGTCAAGAGCAATTTTGCCAAATTGGTGCGTTTCTTTCTTTCATTTTATTTACTTTGCGTTGTGTTTTCTTTTCTTTGGGAACAATGACCCGTTAGAAAGTCTCATTTTGCACAAGAACCGAGTTTTTCTTACTTACTACTTCAAGGTCTAATTTTCTTTTTTTACGTGGTACTTTTTCTTTTCAAGTTCAGATTTCTACCTGTATTTTGCGAAGTGATGACCCAGTAATTTCATATGTAGCAATTGACCTGGTCTGCCTATGCTTGCTGGGTTGGTATGTCAGATTCGAAACGCCGAAACGCTCTGACAGACAACTGAAGATGGCGGGTAGCCGAAACGCGCCTGACTGACCAACCCAGCGAGGATAGGCAAACCAAAATTGTACAAAAAAATTTATGTTATAATATTTTAAATGTAAATACAAAACTGATGGACTGTCAGGTGTGACATGCTGTATAAATCCGCCGTTAGTTTAACCTGAGAGGTCATGATGTCAGTATTTAGTCTCGACTTCGTATTTTCAATGATCAACGACTTTTGACACTTGGAATGGCAACCTTGAGTTGCGTATTCAATGTGGGATCAAACGTATTGTTGAAAATATGTTTCGTGCGAATGACCTTTCTTATAATTTTCCCACTTATGTTGAAAGGTATAATTGTTCATCCATATCCTCCTACTATTTTCGTTTTCGAACTTTATTTCTATTAAACTATCTATTCCAGTGCTATTTGCTACAAAAACGTTTTGTCAAGCGTAAGACAATTTTTCCTAAGCAAATAACCAAAGATCGCAAAATATAAAGGTACTACATAGTGTAAAGGTCAAGTTCAAAACGTTTTTAATTTACTTATGACGTCTATTGACCTCGATTAACAATAAATTAGGCAACAAGCAGGTAAAAGTTGTATTACTCAAATCATTATAAATATTCCCAAGATTTTCCGGTCATCTATTCGGCAATTTGGCATAAATTATGGGGGGCTTTGCAGTTTCAGGGTTTCCGATAATTTTGGTTTGCCTATTCGCGGTTCTGGTTTGTCAGACTTCTCGCAATCTTCAATGGTCGCCACTGAAGCCGAAACCACAAGGATAGGCAAACCAATATGAACAGTCTCTAGATTTTCCTCCTGAGAGTCTGCGTGATGATGAACCTTAGACGTTTATGATTATTTTGTTTTATCTATTGGGTTTGTCAGATGCGTTTCAGCTTCTCGCAATCTTCAGTGTAGCCAATGAAGATGAATATGTGAAGATTTGCAAACCGATATGAATAGTCTATAGATTTTTCTCTTAATGGACTGCGTGATGATGAACCGTCGCCGTTTATGATTATTTTGTTTTGTCTATCGTCGCTGTTTGGATTTGTCAGATGCGTTTCAGCTTCTCGCAATCTTCAGTGTAGCCAATGAAGATGAATAAGTGAGGATGTGCTAACCAATATGAATAGTCTATAAATTTTTCTCCTGATGGTCTGCATGATGATAAACCTTGGTCGTTTATGATTATTTGTACTTGGCTATCCTCGCTGTTTTGATTTGTCAGATTGGTTTCAGCTTCTCGCTCTTCAACGTACGCCACTAAAGCCGAAACCACGAAGATAGGCGGCAAACCAATATGAATAATTTACTAGTTTTTGTGGTCCGCTTGACCAATTAATATCTTTCAATTGATTAAGGTTTTTAGTTGAGATAAAAAAGTCAAAGTCACCCAGGATTCGAACCCACGACCTTCGGGTAGATACGCCGCTACTCTAACACCTGAGCTATCGTGACTTCGATCCACTCGGACACTAACTTCCCCTCTCAATATGAATAATCTATAGATTTTGTTCTTGAGGTTTTTCGTGATGATGAACCTTGTCGTTTATGATTATTTTAATTTATCATACTCGCTTTCGTGGTTTGTCTGACAAGCCAGTGACACCAAAACCAGGGAGTATAAGCAAACTAAGTTAATCCGAAACGACCAAAGATCCTTAATACTATTAGGAAAAAATCATTCCTTGCGCAACATCGTTCCATTGAAACATTTTTATCCTTTCTGGCAACACTCCAGGCCATGGATTTCATTTATTCTGGACGTTTTCCCTTGTAGACGGCATTGAATGGGTCCAGTTAAATATCCGCATCATCAAACGATTTTTTTTCTGATTGATAGCTTATCACTATTTTTCAAGATTTCGCCATCGAATTGACCAACAGAATTATCAAGCATTACGTCCGAATCGGACATTATTAGCAAACAATTCCTAATAAAAAATCACAGTCCCATGATTATTGAAAAAAGATTATATTTTTGCCCGTTTTCGTAGATAGCATCTAAGAATTTTTCCAGGAGATTTTTATTACACCACCCTCTTATAAGTGTTTCACAACATATTCTTTCCTTAAGTTCGACTAATTAGGTAGCACATCCATGCTAAACATTTTGCCTCATCAATGAAATATGTCTCGCTGACACATGGATGATTTCGTTATAGATACAATTTGTAATATTTGAAAGAATGTAGTCAAATAGTAACGGTGATTGAGAGAAATTTGATCTTTGGAATATTTAATCTCGAAAATCATTAGAACTTACAACTTCGAATTCAGCTTGCTTTCTCAATTAAAAATTACTTTTTCAATTCTAGAATACCTTCAAGATGATAATCCTAAATTCGGCGCGACATTAGGCCGATACTCGAGCATCATCTCCGATTCGAAAGGTAAAATTGGCACTGAAGAGTTTTTCCTCACGATGAATCAAAACGAGGATCACGTCTTGGGTGGAAACGTCGGTTTTGATAAGGTAAACGCGTCAAACCTAATTTGTATTATTCATAGAATAGCAGCACATCGCCATTCCTCTTTTAATTTATTCTTTTCTCATCTTGATAAGGTCGGCCTTGATAATTAAAGCTAAAATACTATTAAAAAAAGTCTGTATATATAAATATGTATTCACGCTGTATCTAGGGATAAGTCGTGAGAGAGGATGATGAAGTTTGACCATCTAATCTCGATGATTTTGTCTGTCAACCATAAAAATTTTAACAACAAATTGTTGCACGAATAAGCAAACTGTTTAGAAGAATCGCTGTAGCTCTTAGTCTGACAAATTGCCACCCCCATTCCAGTGGAAAATCAATTTGCAGCTTTATAAACTATTTGAAATTCCAAAAACTTTTTATGATTTAGACTTCACGGCTTATTTTCAGCCTTCAGAATTTAACGTTTTTACCAAAAAAATTGTGGCGGATCCAAGGGGCGTGTAAAAGGGTTAAAAAACCCTCCCTTAGGAGCCAAGTGGAGATGTTATATTTTATATGTAATATGTCTTAGTTTATCCTTAATTAAGCGAAGAGGCTTATATTTCAGGATTATATAAACCTTGATCTGTTACCTCTGATAAACCTTTCAAAAATTAAATCAGTTTTCTGTTAACTTGTCACGCTTTGGCTTTTTTGTCTTCCATACTTCGATCACTCGATTTGATGTCAAGAAACAAAATAACTTCTTTCAATTAATTAATCTTTATGTAAGTTATGGTTGAAATAAAAAAGCTCGCGTTACGAGCGGGATTCGAACCCACGGCCTTCGGCTAAATAAAAATGGGAGCTGCTCTACCACTTGAGCTATCGTGACTTCGATCCACTCGGACGACAACTTCCCATCTCAACCTATCTTTCGAATTTTCCCTCCTTTTTGCCATTTTTCAAATGTCGTGTAAACAGGATTCGATTCTCGGCGATAAATGAAATGGCCACGGCTTTAATAAAGATCTACTTCGTTCTACTTATTAAATCCATTATATTTCGTGGTCCAATTGACCAAATAACTTCTTTTCTTAATCTTTATGTAAGGTATTGGTTGAAATAAAAAACGATAGCTCAAGTAGTAGAGCAGCTCCCATTTTTATTTAGCCGAAGGTAGTGGGTTCGAATCCCGACGCGAGCGTTTTTATTTCAACCGATACCTTACATAAAGATTGTTTAATTTTAGGTAGATTTCTTTCAAAAATTTAGTGGTCGCATTTTTGATCGCATACCAATGAAATTTGGCTGGGTGATAAGGAATCCTGTAAGGACGGTTGGGATTGTTTTTCATCCAAATTTACTGGGGGGTCGCAGAGTTATAGGCGATTAAAGTAAAAAATTCAATCAAAATTTTTGCCGTTTTCTCCAGCATAACAGCTCGGTTAGGTTAACTTCACGCTCTCACTCCTCACTATTGAATTTTGGCATTTTTTATTTTAAAATGGATTCTTTCTGTAATCAAAGCCCGGTTTGCTCAAATCCAAGCAGTATTTTAAAAGTTATCATAATTTGAAAAAATCCCATTTTAATCAAGATAACCTAATCTCGTTGAGTTTGTCCTTTGACATAAAATTTTGTCATTTTTTTAACAAATAAAAATTTTGCTCAGCAAAATGTTTTGAAGAACCACTGCAGCTTTCTTTCAGGTCCTGGGGTTTCTTTCCGATAGAAAATCATTCTGCACCTTTTTAGAACTATTCAAATTTCAAAAATCTATTTTTTTATTATTTCAGAATTGACTTGACAGCTCGTTCAGCGTTATTTGTAGTTTTTCAACAGAAAAAGTTAATGCATGGGTCAATAAATTGTTTACAAAAACCATTGTTGTCTGCAGCTTTATGAACTTACAATTTTAAAAGTCTTATTTTTTATTATTTAAAATCTGACTTGACTACTTCAGACCTCGGATTTTGCCGTTTTAATCAAAAATTGTTGACTGGGTCAGCAAAATTTAAAAAAAACGTAACTTTCACCCTGGAAATTTGACCACTTAATCTCGTTGATTTTGTCTTTTAACGCAAAATTTTCTAATTTTTTTAACCAAAGAATTATTGTCAGCAGCTTTTTTGAAGAACCACTGCAGCTTTCAGGCAGGCCCTGCAGTTTCTATCCAATAGAAGAGAATCATTCTGCTTCTTTATGAATTATTCCAATTTCAAAAATCTAACTTTTTTATTATTTTAGAACTGACTTGACAACTCATTATTAGCGTTATTTTGAGTTTTTAACTGAAAAAGTTAATGCATGGGCCGATAAAGGGTTTAGAAGAACCATTGTTGCTTTTATTCAAGCTAGTTGACACCCTGAGGGATTTTTCCTGTAGATAATCCGTCCACAGCTTAATAAACTATTCGATTGCCAACATTTTTATATTTTATTTAAGAACTGACTTGACAGCTCTTCAGAGTTCATTTGGACGTTTTTTAATCAACAAAGTTGATGCATGTTTCAGCAAATGTTTAAAAGAACCATTATAGCTTTTAGTCAGGCTTGTTGACACCCAGGGATTTTTTCCAGTGGATAATCAGTCAAATTTCTTACTTTTTACAATTTAAAAACTGACTTGACAGCTCTTCAGAGTTCATTTGGACGTTTTTTAATCAACAAAGTTGATGCATGATTCAGCAAATATTTAACAGACCCATTATAGCTTTTAGTCAGGCTTGTTGACACCCGGGGATTTTTTTCCAGTGGATAATCAGTCAAATTTCTTACTTTTTACGATTTAAAAACTGACTTGACAGCTCTTCAGAGTTCATTTGGACGTTTTTTAATCAACAAAGTTGATGCATGATTTTGCAAATGTTTAAAAGAACCATTATAGCTTTTAGTCAGGCTAGTTGACCCCCTGGGATATTTTCCAGTGGAAAATCAATCTACAGCTTTATGAATGCCAATTTCCAAAAATCTTACTTTTTATTATTTAAAATCTGACTTGAGAACTACTTCAACCCTCGGATTTTTTAAGTTTTTAATCAAAAGTTGTGGACTGGGTCAGCAAACTGTTGAAAAGAACCATTATAACTTTTAATCAGCCTAGTTGACGACCTTGGGTTTTTTCTGTGGATGATCAGTCTGCAGCTTTATGAACTTACAATTTCCAAAAATTTTAATTCTTATTATTTAAAATCTGACTTGAGAAGTACTTAAGCCCTCGGTTTTTGCTGTTTTTAACCAAAAAATTGTTGACCGGTCAGCCAAATTTTGTAAGAATCATTGTACCTTTTAATCAGCCTGGTTGACAATTTTGGGTTTTAGTGGATAATCACTCATCTCTTCTGGAGCTATTTATAAACCTCCGAATATCTCTGATTGTTTCAGATTGATCTGACTTAGGTTTTATATTTGCACTCCTCTAAACAATAATCATGAACATAACCAATAGACGGCTACAAGCATTTATTATCACATACAAACGATTTCAATTAATTCCAGGTGATCTGGGAATCTGCTGTACACAAGGACACAGTCGTTATGACATACACGAGCAAGGATGGTGAAGAAGGCTACCCGGGAACGGTGATGGTCCAGCAGACTTTCCACCTCACACACGACAACACACTGGCCATCAGCGTGTCCGTAACTTCATCCAAACCATCTCCGATTAGTATCGGAAACAACATCTTCTTTAACCTCGCTGGTCACGTATGTGCTATTTACTTGCCGAAATTCCATTTTAATTTGAATATATAATCTTTTCTAAATTTTACTTTCTAATAAAATTCAAAAAATTAAAAAACATGATCTTAACTATGAAAATTTTTAATATTGCAATAAAAAAATTTTTATGGTGCGTTGATTCTAAACTGGGACCATTTTAATGATCACTGATTAAAACTAAGTAGTTCTACAATGTTTTTCATCATCAGTATTTTTTTGCAGGGAGCAGCGAACGAATTGGCAAACCACTGTCTGATGGTGAATGCCGATAAATGGTTGATAACTGAAGCTGGAAAACTCACCGGTCCGTAAGAACCGTATGATTCTTTTATTTATAATGGGACAGTTTCAAATCTGTAAATTTAGGAGATGTGCAGAACGTCGGTGGCACCTATTATGACCTAAGGGTGCCTAGGCCTTTGGGAAAAGCAATAGCTCGCGCTCCTGGAAGAGGATATGACACGTCCTTCTGCTTGACCAAAGGCATGATTAAACAAGCCGTCACGTTCGCATGCAGGTGAGAGGAACTATGTTGAAAAAAAATTATATTCAAAAATGCACGGCAACATTTTTCTTGATACCTTGTCTTTCTTTCTGACCGTCAAGACATTGCACATTGATTTTTTTTTTTTTTTCAAAAATTGTCCCTTCTCTGATATTAATTTTGCAATTTAAATTATTCCAGTAAAAAATCTCTGTTTTATGACTTAGTTACTTCAATAATCATTTATCAACTCTCAAATAAATCAAGACCAGATGTAATTCAAATTCTTACCATACTTTTGATCCAAACTGTTGATGTCATATGATGCAACAATTCTTCAATGATTTATCACCAAACTCTTTGAACCAAAAATCCTCATCTCTCATTGTCAGTTTGGTTTTTGGTCTGTTCACTCCACTGTAAAACAAAAGTAGTAGATGCCTATGCAAGAAGTTACTTGTATTGAGAATTTCTGAGAAAGCTGGAGTTCCTCAAGGCAGTGTGCTTCCAGCTCAATTTTCCTACCCAGTTATAGCGGTATTATTTAACTACTTTTTAAAATCACAATTTGAAATTTTAAAGGCTGGCTCACCCAGATTCAGGAAGGTTCATGGAGATGCACACAGACCAACCTACATTACATATCTACACTGGGAACAGCCTTCCAAACCCAGATATGCCATTTGGCGGGGGAGAAGCTGGTGGTACAAAAGGTGATCTTTTCACGTTAGCTGAAAGACTTGCTTTTCTCTGTAGAGATAAAAAAGAGGTATGATAAGTTTCCAGTTTTATATATTCTAATATACTAATAGTTAACATTTTTAGGAAGGAGAAGATAATTGGCCTATAAGAATGATGTCAACAATTTCTTGGCCTAGGCCAGCTTCAGACCCGTCAGAGGAGCACATTTTCAAAAGATTTTCCGAGTTGACGCTTACGTCAAAAAAATCTGAAAGTAAAAAATCACTCCATGGTAGCAGTGCTTCCATGATGAACAATGCTGGAACAGCAGGGATGGAACGGGGAGAAGGGGAAAAGGAAGAATATGAAATGGTCGACGCTGAATCCGAAGGCGAAGGTATGCAATTTATTGATCAAACCAGTACGGCAATTATGAATTGAATGTGATTATTTTACAGAAGAAGAAGTGCCAAAATGGGAGCCGCCTAAACCGATTAAAGGCAAAAAAGGTCTGGAATACAGAAACCACGGTGCAATTTCGTTGATCTCACAAGAGTATCCCGATGCCTTTAAATTTGTAAATCTAATTAAATTTAACTAAGTGTATATCTTTGTAAAATTAATTTTTAATGTAACTTTTACAGAAAAGGCATCCGAGACCTATAGTCTTCCCAGGAGTCACATACACAAGAACAACTTATTATAAGTTTGGAGTAATCGTACAAAGAGATCCAATGGATAAGCCTCCAGTGGATGTAAACAATTTAAATTTTAACCCAACAGAATTTTGAAAGTCTCGTCCCATTAAAACTTATAACAATAGTTTTGTTTTTCTTTCAATATTTTAAAGCTTTTAATTACTGTCAAATTTTAAAATTAAGAATGTTTAGATTAAATTCACTAATTTCGTGGTCCGCTTGACCAATTACTATTACAATTAATTAAGGTTTTTGGTTGAGATAAAAAAGTCAATGGCACGAGCGGGATTCGAACCCACGATCTTCAGCTTGATACGCCGCTGCCATTTTTCAAATGTTGTGTAATTGGGTTGGATTCTCGACAACAAATGAAAGCTTTAGTGAAGTATACTTCATTTTAAATCATTAAATTCACTAATTTCGTGGTCCGCTTGACCAATTAATATATTACAATTAATTAAGGTTTTTGGTTGAGATAAAAAAGTCAATGGCATGAGCGGGATTCGAAAAATGACAAAAAGAAGGGAAAATTCAAAAGGTGGGTTTGAGATGGGAAGTTGGTGTCCGAGTGGATCGAGGTCACGATAGCTCAAGTGGTAGAGCAGCGGCGTATCAAGCCGAAGATCATGGGTTCGAATCCCGCTCGTGCCATTGACTTTTTTATCTCAACCAAAAACCTTAATTAATTGTAATGTTTAGATTGTAAAACATTGTGGTGAATCAAGGTGAACCTGGATCTGGGGTCATCCTGGTCTGGTTCATGACTGTTGGTTTAGTCAGCATTCTATTAAATACATTCAATTTCAGTCATCTTTGTTGAAATTCAGAAGAGAAATTTGTCATTTTTTCAGGGGTAAATAAATTATAATTCAATTGTTCATTTTATTGTCAGAATAAAATTAAAAGTTGTGTAAACTAGGAGACCAGTAGTGCCAAATTCTACAAAATTAAAATATAGGAGTTTTTAGCAAAGGCAAAATGAAATTAAATCCGATTCCACCTAACAAACAAAAAATGAATCTCCTGGCATACATGAATCTGTAACAATATAAAGGTTGAGTTAAAAAAATCAAGTCAAATAAAAAATAATTTTTCAGTAATCTCACTTTTCATATTTTTTCCTTGCGGCGTCCAAAGTGGTGTATGGATCTTTTAAAAGGTATAGCCTGATGGCACGGACGGTTTTAGTGTGATATTCCTTCCAACATAATTTACTCATGTCAATATAAAAAATGTCTCTGTCTTGTTCACTCATTGAATTAAGCATTCTAGTAAAATTACGCCTTTCATAAGTCCATTCAGAAAGTCCATATGGTATTATTTTTAAATTGAACTGTTGTACTTTTATGTAACCATTAATCAATCTAAAAAAATAAATACTTGTTATATTCTAACATATAAAAAAACTATTTTGTTAACCTAACCTAGGTTTTTTCCCAGACAACTTCAAAATTGTGTCGAACACTAATCCTCGAGGTATGTGGAAGAAGATGACTGTAAGATAAAACAAGAGAATGTTCTTTTGCAAGCCGAAATAATACTCTCCGACTACAACATTTTGTGCTATCTTGTCCCTCACTCCATTTTCTTCAGCCAGACCCATATACTCTCCCCATGTGGTTTTTCGCCTTGGATCACAAACAATATTGTAAATCCTTTGTTCAAACATCCCACTGCAATGTTTCACTTGTGCGTTATATCAAATTATACGAATATATCAATAAAAACTAAACGATGCCACTTACATATTTGATGGCCGGTTACAAACATAATCCCAGGCGATAACTATTAGTGGGTTTGTGGCATAATCAGCGGGAATTATATCAGCAACTTTGTCAGCATCACTACACCATACATTTATAAAGCCAGAACATGCAGCAGTTGTTACACCAGTTACGCCATACACGTTGTTGATCCAGCCTTGTAACGGTTCTCTGTCACATCCAATAACTGCACTCAATAATAACAATTCAAATGATGAATTGGTCTTTTTTGAATTTAAAAATCAATTTACCTATTGAAGGCCTGGCAACAACCACGGGTAGCTTATCACAGTACTTTTTAATGACACCTTCTGCTATTGCCTTTGTAAAGCCATATGTATTTTCCCATGGTCCGACCAACCTAAAGTGCATATTGTTATACACTTCAAAAAGCCTTTCTTATTGTTTATAAATAATACTTAGGACTGATGGCTGCAATTTCTTCATCATTGAAGCTATTTACAATATGTTTCAAGTGATCCTCATTATAAGTAGAGTCGTAGAATCTTTCTTCAATGTGTTTGTTTGGTGCTTGTGAATATGCTGTTGAAACATATATGAATACCTTAAAAGAAAATTAAAAATATTGTATAAAAAATATTACAGAGCCATTTAACAGTAAAAATAAGGTTAAAGTTAATTTATCAAACAAAATATGTTGTAGGCTTCCTATATGTATTTAGCATAAGATTTACTTTCAATAATGCAAAGTGCGGTTAACACATGAGCAACTATTTTTGGGCCAAAACTCGTGAAGGTGACCCTTATGCAGAGAAAGGTTGCTTGATGGGTCCCATATAATAGAAGCGTGTCATGCCTTGGCTCCATACAGAGCCTGTAGGCATGCCACCGGGTTTAATAATGGTCCTCAAGCACAGCAGTCAGTTTCTAGGTTCCCTGTTCCATTTTTTAGATAATGGGCTTTTTCATTGTTATATTCTATGTGTTTTGTTTGAGTGCAGGTATTTATTAGTGCGAGTGGTGAGAGGTGATTGTAAAATATAGCGTCACCATCGCCCCTCCAGCAGTTGATGATGGAATATTTATAAAAGTACCAGAATGACCCTGACTTAGGTTATATTAGTAATAGTGTGTGTAGGTCGATGGAGGAATATCCAGTACTCCACTGACTAATCAGAATGACTGCATGAATGTATTATTTATATTTATGAATGTATTTACTTGTGCGACTGACTTATCTAATTTAATTAGTATTAGGTTAGATTATAGTTTGCATGGGCTTGGGGCTGAAATGACCTAGGGTCAAAGCCTAACCACATTGGTTGGGAAGCAATGATCTCCTGCATATCTGGCATAAGGGTATAGCAACATAGCCACATAACAGGGTGGGTGAACTGCCTGATGTATAAACCAATCGCCCTGGTCTGCCTATCCTTCTGGCAGACCAAGGAAAGACAGTCTAGGATGATTGGCAATGACCAAATTGTCGTACCACACTCAAGGCTTAGCCAACAAAGCTAACAACAATAAACAGCCAAGGCTCATGAGGTGAAGTCTTGCCACCCTAGGTCATACATACAGCTGCATTAGCAAGGACTGTGCTAGGAACGTAATCCGAGGTTGCTCCTTGCTGTCAGTGTCAGATAGATTGAGAATCAGATACCATGGCACCACCAGTGTCCAGAGTCTGACCTCATTGGTTAAGTCTTCCTGAGGAGTTCGTCCACAGAAGAGGGCCTCCAGTGATCCACCGCCTTCTATACCTACAATGCAGCCTGACAATATTTCTACCCTAAAGTTGTATGCTGAAGCAATTCAACTGATTGTAAGTCAAAGGCACCACCATTAAGCTTAAGTATTTATTTTATTAAGCACTCGTGCTTTTATAAGACCGCTAGCTATTTAGAGATTTCCCAGATGTGATCAGACAAAGTGATCTATGTCACAATGAAATCTATGATATATTAGTCAATTCAAAATGCTGAATATATTGCTAGTTATGCTTTAGAGGCATTACGTTATTTACAACTGAAAGATGTAATTGAGAAATAAGAGCCAAATTTATGTGTATGACTATGCTCAAGATCATACAGACAAACTGGACACATGAACTTTCTGACAATTTTGAAGCATTATAAGGGCTGGTTGTTTAAAATAGTGTCAGTAGCTAAACTATAATCCTATGAACTTAAGAATTTGCATCGATAATGGATCTGAATCACCAAACTTGAAGTTCTTTACGAATTTTTAATATGCTGACATATCTCTATAGTTGCAGGGTGATGAACCTGAAATTGGTTGAACTAGATGATCCTATCTACCCTCACTTGTCTAGTCTATCCAATGCTTTTGACATTTCACCATTGTTAGTACGTAACAAAGTTTACGTTGAGACATACACCTACTCATCACAAGCTTATAAAAGAAACTTGAATTTATGAACTTTTAACACTTGAAAATATTAATTGAATTAAATTACCTCGAGTTTTGACATTGTTTTTGCAATTTCCAAAAGATCCTGAGTCGCTCTCACATTCATCGTATAAGCCTTTTTGAGATGGCTGTCCATGCTAAGGCACGCCGCTATGTGGAATATCATGTGAACTTCATCTCTCAAAATATTTACGTCTTCCTCCGACATTCCGCAGTTTGACAACTCGCAGTTTCCCGTGATGAGACAGACCTTCGATTTGTAATCAACCCCCATTTTTTTCACTTTTGAAAATATCTATTCAAACAAACAAAAAAATTAGTAAACAGTTTTAACTTAAATTAATCCATATTTTGATATTAATTTGTTAAATATGAGTATGAATGAATAAAAGCAATACAGTAACTTTTAACAAATTCTGTCGTTAAATATCTACCTCATTATCAAAAATCTTTTCTATCCGCTCCTCAGCACTTTTATTTCGCTTTTCGCGAAGCAACAAATAAATTTTGCCAATATTCGGGCAGCATCTATAAAATAATTATTTTTATTTGTTGACACAGTTGTAAAATATGAACTAAATTTATAAAGCATTATTACTAAAATTTCACGAACTTGTTTTTTTTATTTTTGTTAATACCTGTACAAACTGAAACTAAGCCGTTCATACAAGAGCCTTACCTGTTTTGTGACCCCATGTCAATGACACAAAATTTTTCAAGATTATAAGTTTTTATTTTTACGAGTAGTATTTACCATAAGAAAAAAAGAAAGGGAAATATTGGGGAGATTTAATAAAATAATTAAAACAGGAATTATAATAACTTAATTGACTTCTATGTGAGATGAACGTACTTATGTTGAACCTGCATTGGATCACTAGTTCGGTCCCTACCTACATTTGCATGGTTTTTATGTTACTCAAATGCATTTCATCTTTCTGCCATCTTCAGTGAGAAACTTATGTATGGAAAAAATGGTCAATACTGGCTGGAAGGACAAATGATCATACAGACAAACTGGACCTCGAACTTTCTGACAATTTTTAATAAAATTTTTAAAATTAGTACTTGTGAATGGTTTTTAAGAAACAGACAAAGCATAATAGACTTCAAAACAGACTTGAATAATACAATCTATATGAGCACGGATAAAATTATTCAAAATGAAAAGCTTATTTCATTACAGAATACTAAAGTGTTCATAAGTCAACCGTGCATGGCCTATTCTTAATCATGTAAGGATGACACTTCTTTTTCAGGTCCCCGAGGGCACTCCTATTGACAGTGCTGTTGAATACTCTGTCAATGCAGCCACTTTCTTTTAATCATTTTTTTTATTGCATTATTCAGAAATCGTGAGATGCGGTCTGGTGTGATGTAGGTTTCAGAAAAACATTTTCTTTATCGTGCCAACGTTTCAATCTTTATTGAGATCATCTTCAGTGCCTGAGATTTACAAACATTGTTTAAATGTAACAAATACATGTAGGATGTAGAAAAAAGTGAAATGCAAAAAATATTTTTTCTATTCATTCAAAGTATTTCTACTCATTCAAAGTGTTTGTTTTCTGCATAAAAATTGGAAACGGCATGATAAAGAAAATGTTTTTCTGAAACCTACACCAGACTGCATCTCACGATTTCCGAATAATCATCAACTAACGGTCACTAATCACCACACACTTTTTTATTGCATTTTTAGCATCAGAGGGCATATGGATCATAGTGGTGGTTCCGGCCTAAGCCGCCTAGTCTGCCCTTTTGTTACCCTCCAGACCTATGTGTCTTCGGATAAATAGACAACAACCACTGTTTTACCAAGACACAAACTCACAGATTTGAAGAAAAAAAATCTTCACATTTTAATATTACCTGAGAAGTTTTTCTACGAGAACACTCCCAATAAATCCAGTTCCACCGGTGATGAAGACAATTTTACCAGAATAAAATTTTTGTATTTCACTTTCTCTGGGAAAATATAGTTTCCTGTTCTCCAGTTCTTCAAAAGTGTCCCTAGCCTCGTAGTAATCCATAGCTGCCAAATGTCTCACCACTGCAAATGACAATCCCAAACTCAAACTTTTTTTTCGAGTTAAAATTTCCATATAATCGTGTTTAACAATGCAAATTTTATTCAAATGATATTTTCGTAACATAGTCTTTGGTTTATTATTACTGTCAATGTATGAGGTCAAGTATAAGGTCATTGATTTACTTTATTCCTTATAGACTTCTCAACATAATGAACCTATCTTTTTGCATGTCATTTCTTACATCATTCACACTTTTATTTGTTTGAAAGGAAACAGAAATGAAATAGTCATGGTACAATAGCAAGAGTCAGAAAACAAATCTTGGATTTTTCAAAAATTAAGAAAAAATACTTATAAGCATGCAAAACTGTTTCTAACACTACATTATTAAAACAAAAATTCAATGTTGGCTTTTGAAAGGAAAGTGTTAAAAATTTCAACATTGAGTAATATTATGTTTTTGGAGAACTGTGTTCTAGCTCAAGTAGTAGACTTTGAGTAATTGATCATTTTTTCCCATCTATAGTGCGGCATACATCTCTTATTCTCTCATGCTCGGGACGTTTCTGCTCAACAGGTAGAGCACACAGGTCAAATATCTTAATTGAATAAATGCTTCAGTTTAAGGAGTGGCACCTTTGCATACAATCAGTTTTTTAATATTGTCTGGCTGAGTCATTGGTCTTGAAGGCTTGAATTGCTGGAGCCCTCTTAGGATAATGAACTCCTGGAAGACCTAACCTCTGAATTTGCACTTTATCTGACTCTCTATCTTTCTTTCAGTGGCTCAAATTCTGACTCTCAGTCTCTGGCTACAAGCCCGTCTTATATGACTCAGGTTTGGACCTTGGATGGCCAGACCTAGCTGATGAGGTTGAGTACATGACGTAGGGTGGTGAGATTATGATTAGCCTAGAATGAAGTTGCTAGTTATGAAGCCATGAACAATGGATTGTCCTCAGATGTAGTTCGTCAATAGCATTCACATCTGAAATTTAGCAATAAATTAGAATGTACTCAATTCAAAATGAAAAATTTGTGTAACAGGTGGGATTCGAACCCACGACTTTTGGCTAAATACGCTACTGCTTTACCACTTGACCTACTGTGCCACAAACTTCTCATTTCGACTCATCATTTATTTTAATTGAAAGCAATTGCGGCTTCATATAAAAATATATTTTATTAACGATTGTACTATATTAGCGGGACTGTAGATCCACAGGAGCGATTCTAGGTTATTACCAACTTTTATTATTTTTTATCAATTGTCTCTTAATGAACTTTTTTTCACATGCCTCTGTCCAGAAATATATTGAATAAATGCTGTAATTTAAGGAGTGGCATCTTGATTTACATTTTTTTTCTGTGCAATCTTCATGTGATGGATTAATATTGTCTGGTTGAGTCATAGATCTTGAAGACAGTGGATTGCTGGAGGCCCTCTTCAGATAATGAACTCCTCAGGAAGAATATTTTTTGAACCTAGATTTTATTCTTAACCTATTATCTTATGTGTTTGCATTTAGAAGGTTCAGGGCCGATATAAGTTTCCTCGAATAATTTCTTGACCTTATCATTGTTCTTCTTCCATGTATGCCCTGATGCCAGTGCCTGATAGGACCTTAATGCAATCCCAAATGACCCTAAATAAAGTATGATTAATTTATTTGATGCCCGCAACAGTTAAGGTGTTAAAAGAGCATTTATCACTGTTAAGTAAAGGTCGCTTGTTCAAATCCAGCGGCCCTGCATTTGAACCTGACAAAATCAGCCAGTCCTAGGGTTCATAATACCTCATAGTTGAAATACCCTCATAAAAAATAAATAAAATGAAATACATTTTTAAAAATATACTCTTTCTAAATCAATGTCTAAATAAGGATTTAACAATACAGAAATATTATTTTATTAACATAATTTATTTATAAAATGTACATAAAATCAATTTTATTTACAGTTTTTGTTTGTTTTTTTATTTGCTTAATTTTTAAAAGGTATTTGATAATTTATTTTTTAAAAGAATAATTAAGTAACTTTCTTAAAAGAAAAACATTGTAAAAACACACTAAAATAACTTTATTTACAAATTACATTATCACAGATATTCACCAGTATTAAATAAAAAAATTAATTAAATTTAAATTTGATGTTTTTATATTCACTTGATTTATTTTTAAATTTTTTGCCAAGCTCCGGTTTAAAATCATCTATCACAATAAAAATATTGCACTTAGTCGAAACGAAATAATAATAAAATACAATATCCTAAATTTTTATATAATATAACCTTTTTTTCCTTATTTGTTAATATATTTTTACGTAACTGGCTACGTTTTGGCACAATTTAAAACATAATTCCATCTACATTTTATTATTCACACAATATTCTAGGAACAAAATATTTATCGCTGAATAGTTTTAAATTTCAATTCCCTGAAAAATACATTAATTGAGCTGAATGGTAGAACACATTTTCTTTCTTTTTCAAATTAAAGCAAATCTGATATTGCGCTTCTGCAAAAAACACCACCTAAATTACATGTCTTTTCCTTTTAATATAATGTATAACATTCATAAAAAATATCCAATGTAGGCAAGCAAAAAATAACAGAATATTTAATCGATTAACTATTATTTTTATATATTTTTAATTAATATAATATAAGCAATTCTGAATATTGCCTTTTTTTCCAATAAACATCTTGACTGTGCTTTCCGTTAATGACTATAAAATACTCAAATAAAATAATGTCTTGATGTTAATGACATACATTCAATTGTTTAAAAGAGAGTTTAACCTATTAAGGCAAGATCGCCCTATTGATACGTATAATAATTGAGCCATAACTTGACTAAATCAATACTTATATGATATAAAAATACAGTTATCACATAAACGTCAGCACTATCTTCCACTTTCAACGATATGTGTAGGCACTGGTTTTGGCAGTATTTGAGCGTATGTACTGCTTTTCCAGACAATTCTAACATTTGCTTTATTCTTTTGCCTGTAGCTTATAAGAGCGGCTTGCTGCCGTCTCTGAGCGAAGAGGCCACTTCTCCAAGCATACCTGATATTCGCCGTAAAGACTAAACCTAACCCTAAAATGAAAAGCAACACAATTGAAGAGGTCTGTATTACCGGGCCGTAGATTAGTAGAAGGCTTAGAAGGTTCAAGACTGAATCTGGAAGACTAACAAGCTCCTGTATTTTAAAAAAAAAATATTAAAAACAAAGTTTAATAATTTTAGTCACATCTCACTATGGTAGGTACTTACCACTTGAAGCCAGAAGATAGGAATGACCATGTTATCAAAATTTTTCACCCTTGGAATGAATTTTGTCTTTTTCACGACGATGTTCAATTGGACTCTTGTTCTTACAAAAAGAGGCACACCAATTTCCTAAAATCAAAAATATTTAGTAAAAACTCTTGTTAAAGGGATCTGCAGACTGCCTAAATTAAACATCAATAAAAAAAAACTAGTTATAGAAATTTCATTTTTTTAATATTTTTTTAATTAATTAATTTTTTTGAAGGGTTAAGGAAAATTCAGTTAGGACACCTATAGGCCCTGAATTTACCAAAAACTTTGATCCTTCAGACTATGGGTTATGACTTATGAATAAGTCTTCAGTCCAATGGGATTTTTATTTCAGGCCAGAAGCATGCCAAAATAATTCATTAAAGGACCATCTCATAAAACAACTACAGAACTATTAAACCTAGGACATGCTAGGACTGCTATTGGGACATAGTAGATTCCACAAGCATAAATATATGCAGTTATTGCCAGGAAAAAGAAGAAACAGTTTGGGGTGAAAACTTATACCGGCATTCCTACTCCTCAGATAGAAAAAGCACTTAGGGTCTGGTAAAAAACCTTAAACTTAATGAAGCGCTAGACATTGATGGAGATTGCACAATAGACCAATGTAGGTCGCGGTGCACAAGGTCTTAAAGAGGCCAACTGTCAGTAGCCAGTTGTAATCTAACTACTGTAATGATCTAAAATTCATATTAGTCTAAATCTTAATTAATTAGTTCTAAAGAATACAAACAGGAGCTTTAACAAAGCTTAATGCAGAACTCTAGACAATGATTGAGATTGCACAATAGACCAATATTGGTCATGGAGACCAACTTCTTTTAACCTTTAAGTTTCAACAATGTCAAATCCATTATTTATATTTTTAATTAATTTTACTAGTATTATAAAAGACAGGTGAATTGAACCAAATCACATAAATGAAAATATTTTTGTTGTTACCGATTGTTTTGGTTGCAATAACCTCTCTGGGTTGTGTTAGAGCAAAATGATTATTTTATATTATTAATTTTTTTTTTAATTCTTACTGGTTGCACAGCAAATACTGTCCCATGTTTTTCTGGATTTGGGTTCAGTCCTTCAACTCTCGATCCCAGGCTCTTGTTCGCATAGATGAAATGTGGAAGAGAAATTGCAACTGGAATATCTAAAATATATATATATATACGTATTAATAATTTAAAAAAACTTAAAATCTTTATATGTTTAAGAAAAAAATATATATATTACTGTAGTAACAAGGAGAGAGATCAGAAAGGCCAGGAGGTAAACAACGACCAAATCTATCACAGTAGCACTTGTTGTTAGGGTTCTCCGGGTCGAGAATGTCTTTTGGGAAAGTATAGACGTAAGCCGGATAGCCAGCTTTGGTTTTTTCCTGTCTGTCGAAAACAATTGGAAGAGACCTGCAGAACGCCTTCCTGTACACTGTGAATGACTGAGACGGTTGTAAATTTCTCGGGAAAAGAATGCCTTCCACTGATCCTGTAACTCTGTCACAAGTCCGGGTTCTGAAAAAAAAAATAATAATAATAATAACCGCTGGTTTAAAAAAAACACAAATTTTGGATCTAATGGAATTTCCTTACTGTACAGTTCAGGGAGAGCAAAGAAAAATAAGCATATAAACAAAACATTGAAAACACTTGTAGAAATATAACATGGACTACATTGAACCAACTTTTGTAAAAAATTTATGACAATTATTAATTTAGGGGTGTTAAAGGATCTAGGTTCAAATGCAGAGCCGCTGGATAACCCCGACATAAAAATTGGCTGTTTTTTTTCATCTTTTTTTTCCCCAAAACACCGGCAGGGGGTTCATATAGCTTTATTATGATAAACAAAAAATGGAACATGGAGTGTTGGCAGGAGTCAAAAGCGTAAATTTTGACCTAGAGAAACCTCGAGGATCACTCCATCAATTTTTCAAGCTGACATATGCAAATTAAACAAAATAAATGCTTAAAAAAGGAGACACATATTCTCAGTCTGTCAAAGTCTTTAGATGACTCAATACTGGTCTGGGTATGTCTAACTTATCTCCAGCTCCTCGAATAAAACAAAATCACTCTGATGTTGGTGGGAGGGCATGAGGGGATTGAAGGCAACAAACAGGCTGACAAACGAACAAAAACAGGAACAGCCGTCACACCCATTGGACCAGAAATGCAAATTGCTGCCCCAAGGATAATAAAGCAGAACTAAATAAATTCTAAAAAAAAAAAAATAGAAGGAGAAAGAAATTCATCAAGGTGTTCAATAATTCAACCAAAATAACAAAAATCCACCTCTTTCTCAGTAGACAAAAATTATGGAAATAGTAAGCCATTATACTACCCGTTCAGTTACAGCACAATGTTAAGATTTGTGCGGTTTTCTGTGACCTATACCTTTTAGAATCAAAGGTGGTTATATTAAAAAAAGAAGGACATTGGGTTTCATCTGAAAAATGGTTCTATAAAGGCATAGAGTCTGGAACAACTATAAATATTTATGAGTTACAATATCATCAAAATTGTCTATGGGGAAGCACTTCAAAAGAAAAAGCATCATCAACCAAAACTGTATTTAATTAAATATGGGGGCTCGTTTCAGACCTTGCTTCCCTGGTGTGCCAAGATGAGGGTGTTCAGTGGAGTTTGCCGAGCTATTCTAACTTATGCGTACGAGTTCTGGGGTTATTGGCAGAATGGAGAGGTTGACAAAATGTCTAGATATTTTACTAAAAAAAATCTTCACTCTTCCTGAATCAACGCCAAATTACATGCTTTCCGTAGAAACAAATACTGATCCCCTATGCTGAACATGGAACATTTTTTCAAGGTGTTCTTACTGCAAGATTCGTGTCTAACAAAAATTACAGCTCTTAAGATGATTGAAAAGAGATCTGCATGGCTTGACCATTTGAATTCTAATATCTGGGGTGTGCAGGTAGGTCAGTAATATAGACGATGTAAAGGATGGGATATGTACATTATATAGTTGAACTTCAAGTTTTTTGTTTTGTTTTTTTGAAAATTACAATTAATTAAGGTTTTTAGTTGAGATAAAAAAGTCAATGGCACGAGCAGGATTCGAACCCACGATCTTCGGCTTGATACGCCGCTGCTCTACCACTTGAGCTATCGTGACCTCGATTCACTCCAACACCAACTTCCCAACTCAAGCGCACCTTTTGAATTTTCCCTCATTTTTGCCATTTTTCTATATAAAGTGTTTTAGTAAATTGTTAACATATATCATTGACTATCGGATTATTGACTTGACATATTTTAATGAAGAAGGTCGTGTCATAAATACACANATTTCGTGGTCCGCTTGACCAATTAATATATTACAATTAATTAAGGTTTTTAGTTTAGATAAAAAAGTCAATGGCACGAGCGGGATTCGAACCCACGATCTTCATCTTAGGATCGAGGTCACGATAGCTCACGTGGTAGAGCAGCGGCGTATCTAGCCGAATCATCGTGGGTTCGAATCCCGCTCGTGCCATTGACTTTTTTATCTTAACTAAAAACCTTAATTAATTGTTATATATTAATTGGTCAAGCGGACCACGAAATTAGTGAATTTTTTGACAATATTGAAATTAATTTTGAAGAAAAAGTTTAACAATTGGTGTTGTTGGTTATTAGAATATATAAATAAAATATTTTTTCTTCTTCTCGAAGAATTGAGACAGACACGTCTCACTTGCCATGAAGACTCATGGGCTGAGACTGGAAAACATTTTATCCTGGAAATTCTACTCTAATGCTAATGCTAGAAAAACGAGCAAAAAGGAACCCCAGAAAATGCACACCATTAAGGGTAGTTTTCCTGCGAATGCAAATAAGAAGACCCAGTTTCACAAGAGATCTTGCAGTGGAAGAAAAAAAAACTATAGTCCAGTGATCCGAGTAAAAAAGGAACTCACATATACCTTTACACGTGTGACGAATCTAACGGTACTCAATATTCCGCCATCGGCCCTATCACGCTACACAGTCACCCTAATAAATACAATCTCTTAAAAAAGTTTTTACCCAACGATCATTGAATAACTGCAAATATTTTTAATAAAAGCAGCAATGATCCTAATAATTATTATCCTAATAATTATGATCCTAATAATAGATCAATGAGAAAGAAAAAAAGAAAATTCATATATGTAATATATACTTTAAAATTAGGTTTTAGAGGCTAAATTTTTAAAATTGGTTCTTTTAAAATTAAAACAAAAATTATATGCTCTAACGGTTTATTATTTTTTTACACAACAGACTTTATAATTCTAGGCTTCTAATGGGCTCCCACCGCAAAACGTTTAACATTTCACTTGAGCAAACATTTCAATAGAATAATCGGCGAACGAAAGTAGAAAAAAAGGTTTGTAGTAGGAAACTCCCCTGCGAAGTATTATAAAATCAAGCCCGTACGGACTTCCTGGACGCGGGAACCAGTTTTGGAATATTATGCAACATTTTTAAGACCGGAACGCCATCCGTCGCACCAACTTCGGATATGCTGAGATTTTCTAGGGTCAGAAAGTCTAATACATAATGTAGATTATTTCCTGGGTACTTCGGATGTTCGAGCACCTCCCACATCGTCATGACGGGCCGCAAGTCACATGAACTTTCGGCCTTTGTGGCTTGCCGATATTGGTACACGTCGAAATGCCAACTTTCCTTTATTAGGCTCAAGATTTTAAAAGATTGTAAAACTTTTAACCTCTATTTCAAAACCGACCTTTAATTTTATTACAAACCTCTCAGGTAACATGAAAAATCTTATTGCACGAGCCTAGTTCAGACTGTAAACGATGTTTCTGAACATTATTGAACATTTTTCTAGCCAGATCTGAATGGTCAACTTTCTCAACATGTTTTTGAAATAGTTCTTATATTTCTTATGTTCCTTGTTTCCTCGTTATTTCTTATGTTGTTGGATAAATCTTGACTTTAAGATGTTCATTCTATCCATTTCTACAGGTAATGTTGGCTATATTTTCCTTTTTTCCTTCTAAGTTTATAATCACTATAATCACTACTTTTTTTTTNTTTTTTTTTTTTAGTTTGTGATCCTTCTGTATAGATTATCTTCGCAGTATGGCAGACCTGATCAACATCTTCAGTAACCAGCGAGGATAGACAGGCCAGGATGATAGCAAAACAATCAAAATTGTTCGCCCAAAATGTCCTACAATTTTAAATTCTTGATTCTATAAGTTAATCCCTAATCCCCAGTCCCAATTGATCCTGGATGGACTGAACTTTGTAAAGACATCCGGACTTCAAATATTTCCAGTGTTTTCAATTTAAACCGGAATCACGGAGCAACTATTTTGCTTTATTTAACCAAGTTAAGTTGTTGCCATTGTTTAGTCTTGAAGACTTTAAAAATTAACTTTAAGACATAAATTATAAATTTTAAATTTTGGCTAATTACACGTTAGATCCTGCATCGTAACCCCACTGAGATAGGCCAGGTGATCCGTTGTAGTTTTCGATCGAGTACTGGGAGCTCGTGTTAGTATTTTCCAGTAGCATCGTGATCCTGTTCTCTCCCTCGTCCATCATCTAAAAACATCAAGTTTAATTAATAAAATTCGTTCTTATGACAGTCAATGACCTAGTACTTCTTAAGAGCACCGAGGCGATTGACTAAGAAACTGGGAAAGTACAATAGCAAGAAGGCTGCAGTGGGTAACAAAAACCTTCCTTGTGACCATCATCATCATTATCAATTTCGTTGTATTACAAACGGCTTAAAGTATTTTGTATCCTTACTCTGTCCAAAAGGCCGAATCTTTCGAAGTTGATCCAAGTCGGCAGAACGTTGCTGGCAAGCTTGACCAAAGGATCGTCGTACCCCCAGAGGAAAGCGTCCACTGTCCTGTTCAGCAACGGCCGGGCGTCCAGGTAAGAAATGATAGTAGATAGGGCCAAATTAATACCAATGGAGGAATTATGCAGTGCAGAAGCAATACCCTTTAAAAAAAACCATAGTTATTAAAACAACATAAAAATCATTGACTATTTTGAAAATTGTAGCAAATATTACGAAAATCAAGTTACTAACCAATAGTGGGACGTTGGTAACTGTAATTACATCTTTATAGGGGTCACCGGCCGACAATTCTGGTTCGAAGACGACTTTCCTCCTCGGGGTGAAACTGATTGTGCTGTTTTCATTCCATTCTATGTCTTCATTGATGATTGTCTCGCTACATAAAACAAGATATATTAGTAATTAGTAGTTTTTTTTATTATATTACTATTCTATTATATACTAGTATATTATAACAGGAAGAAATTTTATGTCAAGCAACCGGACGCTCAAGATGCGATTACGAAATTATCAGTCTAGCACTAGTTCTTACTTGATTGCAACAATTTGAAGGTTTAGGTAATGAAAATATACAAGGAGTGGCCTGGGACGTGAGGCCACACATTTTACTGACTTTTTTGTTAGGTCTATGAGTAAGTCTGGTGATGCTAATCCACAACTAATTCAAATTCATGGCTGAACCGTTTGCGCCATCTTCAGTGAGGAACTGAGTTGAGAAACTCCAACTAAATTCGCTTGTTGTTTAGAATAGTAGAGAAGATTAAATTTTACATTACTCATCCTGGTCTGCCGATCCTAGTTTGGTCTCAGGCGCAGAAAACGACTATCAACTTGGTTTCTAAGTGGCGTCGGTGGCCGCAACGGTTTAGGCGTTGACACGGCGCTCATCGCTGTAAGGTAAAGGTCCCGGGTTCGAATCCAGCGGCCCTGCATTCGGACCCGACATATTTACAAATGGGCTTATTTTCAAAAACACCGGCACACTGGCACAAAAACTTGGTTTCTAGCTTTAATTTTTTTTTAGTCTATTTAGTAAAAAAACGCAAATTATCAATCTGCTGACGAGCGAATTAACATTCAATACATACTTATTTTGTGACCGAAGTACCTAGCAAATTAGATTTAAACTTTTTTTTATATATACTTTTTTTCTCAGATCTTTTCTATGATTTTTTTTCGAAAATCACCAATCATCAAAACAATTGTGATAACTTTGAAACTATTTCACCGATCTACAAGAAACTTAACAAGGGTAACATTTAAACCTTGTCAATATTGGCAGAAATAAGAAATATTCTGCTTTCTATCGGTTGGTATTACGTTGAATTTGGATGAAATCCAGACGACCTATGAATTTTTTAACTAGAACCCAGGATATTGTAGGAATAAAAAATATACACCCCCGGCTATTATCAAAAATGTATGTTTTTTATACTATAAAAAATTCATATTTAAGGGCTTTAAAGTGTGCTTAAAACGAATCCGAATTGATTTTTGCAAAAACAATTTTTTTTGCCTAATTTACTGAATGTATCTTTTACTTTTTGTAACTTTTTATATATTTAATTATTCAGAAATCGTGAGATGCGGTCTGGTGTGATGTAGGTTTCAGAAAACATTTTCTTTATCGTGCCAACGTTTCGATCTTTATTGAGATCATCTTCAGGGCTCAAAGTGTTTGTCTTCTGTGTAATTGTGCCATTCTTGCGTGTCGTGTTGAGAGTTTTTATATATATTTAATCCTATTTTATTTAAAACAATCCTGGGTGTTATTTTTTTCCTAGGCCAAAACTGAATCAACTGATATATAATAACCGTGAAATAAAAAATATGAATCTATTAAAATACTTCTTTCTCGACTCCTTTGCCATTGGTACGGCCGCTTGTACACTATCGAATATTTTCACCAATAGTATCGCTCAAAAAAAAATTTCATTGTAGTCGGTGATCCCGCGTCAGGGTAAAGTAACGTTCGAAATCAAGGCGAACAATCAAAATCTTCTCTACTTAAAATTTGTCTGAGAATCTAGACTGAAAAGGCAAGCCTCATCAGACTTACATCAAATTATCAAAATGTAAAACCGAATTGGCAAGAGTATTCTGGAATTTATTTGGAAAGGGAAACATGAGAAAATTTGCAAGATTTCATTAACAATCGTAAATGAGCAGAACGTTTATTTACCTTTAAAAAAATCTTGGAACTATATAAATTTTAATGGTGTTTAAGCAATGTAAAAATATTAGAAGAGAATTTTGTTCATATTTTCAATCTGTAATATGTACCAATTATTTTTCCAACTAAACAGGTCTAGTTTATCGGAGATAAAACTGATAAGAATAAGAAATGAACTCTAAACAAAAATTGCACAGTTAAGAAGGATTCCATGATATTGGAAATTAGAATAAACTCTCTTTTCTAAAAATATTCATTGAAATAATGGGCATATTAGTCAAATAGCGAAAAGTTCTTTAAGTCCAGACCGACAAAACTAAAAAGTCAGATTAATTGAAGGTAAGCAGTCGTGTAAATTATACACCTGGATGAATTTTTTTCCTAAAATCAAAAAATAATTTTTGTTTCAGTCGAATGCGTCGATCTTTTGCAAAAATCACGAAATTTGTAAAAATTTCGAAAAGATTACCGATAGACTGGTAAATTTGCAGCGGTTTTTGAGTTAAAGACTACACTTAAAAGCACAAAGTGGTCTCTGCAAATAAATTACAACCGGAGATATAAAATAAAACGTTTGTTGAATTTTTGTTAATTTCTACCTTATTTTTCTCACTTATAATGACATAAAATTTATGTTTTCATATAGGCTAAAAGATGAGATATTCAGCTATCGGTTGTCCTAACGTTGAATTTGGATAAAATCCAGAAGGGCTTGGAATTTTTAAACAGGAACACCTGACCTCGGCGATATAAAAAAAAATTGACCCCTGCGAATTATACCAAATAACTGGATAATTTTTATTGCTATGAAAAGTCTTATTCAAGGGCTATAAAGGGTGCTTTGAACGAATCCGAATTGTCTTTTCAAAATCGATTTTTTGGCCTTTTGGACATCAAATCTCATTTAACCTATCCTGCAGTTCATTTGGTTATTCAGCGTAAAAAAACAAAGCTACTGCTAGTAGCAGCACAACTAAATAAAAGCATAAATTTATGCACAAAAAGGCAGGCGGTCATATTTAAAAAAATTAAATTATCTAAAATACTTTTTTCTCGTTTGTTAGGGCCCAATGGCAAGAACACAGTTTTTTTCTACCTAGTATCACCAAAAATTTTTTAAATCGGTGATACCTCGTCAGTAGTCCTACTTTATGAGATGAGATCCCGCTGGCTCAGAATCTCCAATAAAAATACAAGCGAAGTTGTGTTATGTAAGGATAAGCCTCACCGGACTTACATCAAATTATCAGAATGTAAAAGGTAAACAATGGAAAATTTGCCAAGATTTAAACAATAATCATAAACAGGCAGGACGATAATGTTACCTAACAAACACCATTGAACTGTAATAAAAAACTAATGTTGTTTAAACTAGAATAAGTTTGTCTATATTTTTAATACGTAACCTTAGTAAGAATTATTTTCCTAACTAAGCAATACAATTATTGAAAAAATTAATTATCAAAATACATTTTTTCCAATGAAAGCGACCAATTTTAATTTAAAGAAAAATTTATAGTTTATATTTAAACAAATTTTAATCTGTTGGTGATGGGTTCTCGAGGACGTCCTCACTTTTATTGTTCATATTTGAGGACGTCTTTATCTGAAAAATTAAATCAAGGCAATTATAAAAGTAAAATAAAATAAAAAACCTGTTTTGGAAACGAACTAAGTTGTAAATTGTGAAATATAGTGAGGTCTAATAAAACAGAGGCCAAACTAGCGAGGGCAAGAGATCAGGATTATCAAATATAATTTATTTATCACAGAGTTCAAAACAAAAATAGGTTTAAAGTTTTTTGGCTTTTCTTAATCCATATCCATCATATTCCCCCCCCTCAATGCCTGTATATTTGGATTTTATATCGAACCTTAAAGCACAAAAGTCCAAACCTGTACGTGTACGGTCCAATCTCCTGGAGTTTGATCTTGCTGTCCCTTCCGTCCAAAAATTCGTTCGCGTTTGTTATGTTGAATATGTAGACTTTGATGTAGAGCTTGATCGGAGGGGATTTCCACATTTTGAACAGGTACGATCCTTCGCTCATGCTCAGCATCTGTACAATTAAAATTTGCAGGTGAATATATGTGTGTTTTTTTTGTAATATTTATGAAATATTTACTATATTCTTTATAACACTGATTGGGTCGATGAAATGAATGGCGTACGCCAGTCCCATAATGCTCAGACCACATAGGCATAATTTTAAATATCCTGCAACAACAAAAAAAACATATTTTCAATCAAAATTCAATTAATTAGAAATAATGTTGTCTAAACAAAGAACAAAATTTACAATTTATAGGTTCTGTAATGGAAATTTGTTCAATTTAAACGGAAAATTTGGCAAATTTGAAGTATACACATTTAACCATGTAAAATAGTTAAGTAAAAATTATTTATGAACAATAAAAGTTTGGCTTTTCACAAACCCACCAAATCCTTATTTTAAAAAATATTTATTAGGATTTTAAAAAGGAAATAAATATCTGCTTCGTTCGGAATATTTTGTCATTATGCGGGGTGTTCATTCATATGACAGCGTTCACACGGTGTTTCTACATCTCAAATTCGACAAAAAAATTCGTAGGATCATGCTTCGATTCTCAACCCTTTTGCAGATAATCAACGTTTTATGTTTTTCCAACTATCTCCGATTTTTCTCATTAATCTACGCGTAACAATTGAACTATTTATTCTTGGAGAAATAAATAAAAAATTGAAAAGTGCATTAAATTTCCCTTAAGAAGGAACCATTCTAGAACTTTTTATTTAAACTTTTTATTTGTAAAAGAAGAAACACTAAATCTGTTAAAAACTGCTGAAATTTAAATTAAAAAAAAAAAAAAAAATTGCAGCCTCGTTGGAAAAATTTCCAGAAGAGCTTGGTAAATTTCATAACAAATTCCTCCTTTAACAAATTTCTACACTAAACAGACAAAAGAAAAAATAACACAACAGTACAGAAGTTGTAAAATCCAACTTTAACCTAATAAAAAAGCAAAAAAAAAGAAAAATTCGAAGTAATTTGGTTAATGACCGTTAATCGATATTTATTTAGAAATCGTGAGATGCGGTTTGGTGTGATGTAGGTTTCAGAAAAACATTTTCTTTGTCGTGCCAACGTTTCGATCTTTATTAAGATCATCTTCAGGGCTCAAAGTGTTTGTCTGCACAATTACACAGAAGGCAAACATTTTGAGCCCTGAAGATGATCTCAATAAAGATCGAAACGTTTGCACGATAAAGAAAATGTTTTTCTGAAACCTACATCACACCAGACCGCATCTCACGATTTCTAAATAAATAAAAAGTAATTTGGTTGTTCACTTTTAATCCATATATGTATTTAGTAGTCATATTTGACCGTATTATTTATTTAAGTGCCACTTATTTTTTCATCTCAACCAAGACGTTAAATTAAAAGTATAGCTATTTGTTCCATATGTTTAGTTGTTTTGTTTGATTTTTTAAGATTTATTTATTAGGTTGGAGTTGGGTTCTTTCTTCTCTACTGTTTTTTTTTGTTTTTTTTTTTTTGTCTGTTTAGTGTAGATATTTCGTCCAAGATAGAGGAGTTCCTTCATCTTCCTTTTCGAGAAATTTATAAATCTCTTAGCTTCGCCTCGTAACAGGTGGTTTTGTCCAATGTTGTGGCTTTTCTTTCTCAAGCTTTCAGTTGCAACTTAAGCACAAATTCCTGGGCATCCAGGCTCTTGCACCATGGATCAGAGGGTTGCCCCTTTTTTGGATAGTTGGTCAGCCTGTTTATTTCCTTCTCTGCCTTCTTGTCCGAGAACCCACTTTAAGGTAATCTTGTTTTGTTTGCCCAGAGTCATTAGGCAATTTAGCCACTCCTAGAGAAGTTTACTTTATAGCACCTGTCTAAGAGTATATACATTGCTGCAATTTTTATATTTTTCTTCATTAACTCTCACAGAGTTGTATTGAATGGACCTCAGCTTGGAAAATTGTTCGGGGATGGTCCACGGGCCTTTTCTAGGGTATAATTCGGCCCTTTTATCCCTATACTCCCCTTATACCCTTGAAACTTGGGGCCACCTTTCTTCCCAAGGATTTTATTATCTGGCCAAACTTCATCGGAACTTTCAAAAAATTCATGTTGTGTTCTGTTTTGGTTTTTGTCCAGTTTTTGCCTAATGGCCGGCCTTTTTAGGGCTGTCCCTTTGTATATTTACTTTAACATTTGCGTTGGAGCGTACTGGCTTCAATGTACAATTGATGAGAAGCTTGTAAGCCCTTTTGATACCCAGCATGACAAATTGTAGACTTGTGTATTGACAGTGCCATCAGATTATATATGAAAAAAATTCGTACTCATACTTTATTAATAAATTATCCAACCCACTTCAAACAGTTGGTTGCATAAATTTTCTTCTCTTGTTGAGTCTGATTGATTTTTTCTTGTGAACAATACAGTCCAATGATTTCAAAAATCAGATATGGTTTCAAAGGACTTGGGCAACAGAAATTGAATTTTAACCTTTTAGTTTTAATACACTTGAAACGTTTCGTTTAATTTTTTTTTAAATTTTAAAAGGTAAATTTAAGTAATGAGTCATTGGAAAAATTTAAATGCTAGACTAGTATTCAGACGGAGGATGGCAAGTACCTCTGACGTCATAACAACTCGTCTTCTATCTTGTTTTTTGTTTTGCAAAAATGAATTACATTCAATTCAATAATAATGAATAAACATCCATTCTCATTTATTCTTTAGTGTTGACGTCAATGCCCAGTGGGTAGAGCCAGTTTGCAAAATTCCGGGAAGGAGACTTGATCTTTGAAAATAATATATCAATTTCGCGATAAGGTGGTGCTTTGACGAAGTCAGAAAACTTTCGTATATACGTTTTAATTCGGTGATTGAGAGGGATCCAAATCCGCCGATGATGCAGATGCACCATTCGCGAATTATCAGGTAAGCAGGTCACGGGTAGATAATAGTTGCAACTTTCAGCAAATACGTTAGAGACGTCGTCAGGCTGAGTAAAATAACGCACGAACACACGATTGAAGATAGCCAAGGGCGATTGGTAAAAAGGATGCCGTCGAAATGTTGCGTAAAACAATGATTATTCCTTATGAAAAAAATAAGGTTTAAACCTCAAAAGAGAGCTTAAACCAAAAAGACTCCAATATGACTAATAAACAAGCAACATAAAATCATAAAAAAACGTGTACATTTAGTATGTATTGTAGAATTTAAAGTTTAATAAACCACCATTCAATAAGGTCGTCCAATCGTGCCAAAATTATGATTGTTTAAACAAGATAATTGAAGAGATTTAAGAGAGTTGAAAAAAATACATAATCACAAACGCTTACTTAAAACAACAACCTTATATATATCATGAGATTAATCAGAATTGCAATTATCTCCCTGTCGTGAATCGCGTCTCCCTGAAAATCAGTTCAGGGCCGGTAAAGGCCGAAGGAGTATATTACAGTGCCCACCACATGTCAAAACAACGCCTGAAGTCCCAATGTTACAATTACATTGTCCATGATATGACAAACATTGGAAACGAAATGAAAACATAAAATAAAACTCGGTTTTCCATCGTTCTCTCCCTCCTCTCTCATACATGTTTCTTTTTTTCATTCCCTTGCTATCTCCCAACGATCTTTCATAACACTCTCTCACGCTTCTTTTTTATCTTCCATAATTTCTTTATTTCACATTTCACAAACACACAGACACACACCTCTCTCTTTCTTTCTTTCCCTTTCTCGATCNTCTCTCTCTCTCTCTCTCTCTCTCTCTCTCTCTCTCTCTCTCTCTCTCTTTCTATGCCGTGCGATATATCGCCTCTATTTTTTGCCCCCTTCCTGTCACACACTCAATTCTTTTTATTTTTATTTTATTTTTTTTAACGCACCCTCGATCTTTTCATCAGAGAAACATTTCTTATTTTTTCTCTTTATTTCTCTGTCTTTCTTATTAAGATTAATTACTAAAAAATAAATATTTAAATTAATAGTAAGAGAAATTATAATAACTAAAAATAATTGAACATGGTTTAAAATAAAGATTTTTATAATAATTTAAGAGAAATTATTTTTATAATTATAATATTTATGTGATTTAAGTAAAATTGAATGTATTTAATTCATAAGATTTTTTTATTTCTAACCATCAAAAAATTTGAAAAATATTATATCTATTAAAAACAATTTATTCTTCTAATGAACCCTCTGAGAAAACATTCGCGCCTGATGTTGTGTATGTAATTGTATAAGAAAAGTCAGTATTGTCTTAAATTTGTACTCATAAAAAATAAAAGTTCAGTTCATTTTCTCTCTCTCTCTCACTCACTCTCTCTTTCACTTTATCTCACTCACCCACTCATCTCTCCATCTCTTTCTCTCCCAGAAATAAATACAATAAAGTAATACAATAAAACTTTATGAAAAAACTTTATGTAAAACCACTAATACAGAAAGATTAATAATTGAATTTGTTACATCTGTCATATATTCAAACCACTATAGTATATTGTATATTATTTTGCACAAATTTGTAAGTTTTTTTCAGGATTTGTTTCTTGATGTATTCATTACAGTTTTTAGTGAGGTGATGAAAATTTAATTTTCTATGTATGTAATCTATAACATTTTTGGTAAATTTTGTAATTATATAAATTTCTTTCTTTATTGATTTGTTACAGTTAAATGAATGTAAATTTGCATTTAGTTATTATTATGTTCATTCAGTTTAAAATTTCTATTTTTATTGTTTTGTTTTATATTATTATATACAAATGATCACCTTGAAGAGCATGTATGTAAGTTCAAATTGTAAAATGTTCGTTTCTCGTTGAGTGTAAGAAAGGTCAAATTGATCTAACTCTGCGAGATTTGTAAAAATAAATCGTTTACCAAATCAAAAAAATTCTTCTCTTTATATGTTTCTTTTCTCTTATTTCCCTTACAGGAACTCTCCTTATTATTTCCCTCTTTCAGAACTCTTCTTCACCCTTCTTTCTTATCTTGCATAATTTCTTTATTTCTCAAAAACAAATACAAACATTCTCTCTCTCTCTCTCACACTCTCTCTCTCTCTCTCTCACTCTCTCTCTCTCTCTCTATCTCTCTCTCTCTCTCTCTCTCTCTCTCTTTCTCTCGTTCTCGCTCTAGATAATAATTCTATCAGTACATTTGCATAGAAGTGTGTTTTCTCATTATTCATT